CGCTTGAACTGATTTCATAAAAAAGATTATTATGTAATCGTATTGGATACGTAGCCAAAGGGTGATTTGTTGATGGAAGCACCGACGGTTCTCAATGGAAATAAAACAATTTGAAATCAAACACGTCTCTTAGTTTGTGAAGCTGAATGATGCAGAAGAACCACATTTTTCCTATTTTATGGGCAAATAATTTCGTTGTATAGCTGATTGTTTTGGTACGGGTGTCCTTAATCTGTAATGTGGCAGAAATTATTTCAAAACAATCACCGATGTTTATGTTCCTAATCCATTTAGCTAGGTAGTGACTACGCAAAATGGTCCGACACAACGTATAGGCCCTCTTGCGAGTCCAAAGCAATAACGAACCGGGGGCTTTTTGTGCCCGGCTTCCGTCGGTTGATTGGCTTTTGTGTCCGGTACTCGCGCTGGCAAGGACCTCGCGATTTTCCGGGGAGCTTGAGACGAACTGAGGGTCGGGCAACATCAAGAAAACGTGGCATTGTTGCCTTGACAAAAGCACCAGCGTGTTTGTTTTGCCGCAAAAACTTTGTAACCAAAACTGTAGCCGCATCCCCGCTACCGGTTCCCCTAATTGCTATAGAATGTGATCGGGCACGTTAATCTAGCTATCACTCAGGCGCAATGTAGTATGTCCTTGCATTCGATTTCGAATTTGGTAACTAGGGAAGCGTACAGATCAATAGTTTACAATGACCTATATGGTGACGATGCATATTTTAAAGAATTCGAATAATATTCCATGCCATTAATTTCTCGAAAACGTCACTCCTTGCAAATTGTGCGTCACCCTCGTCAGATTTCGAAGTTTACCCTTTTGTCTCATTGTTTTGGTGGAATTTAGGTTTTTTGTCTAATCCTTTTGGGCTTGTGTGTATTTAGATGATTAGAGGCCCCAAATGAGTCGATATTTTGCCGGCCCTTCAAAGCCCATCGCATTGGCGTCTTGGGGGCTTAGCTCTGAATTATTAATCGAGGTGAGGCAAGGATCTGGACCCTTGTCACGCAACCCTGCTAAAGTACAAGTATAGGTAAAAGCTAGAGCCGGGTGTTCGGTAGGCAAAGAGTTCGGTCCGTGAGCTTACACACCCGCTATTTCTTGGAGTTAGACAGAAAATGACATTTCCTTTTTGGGGGGTGAATAACATTTTATGATGGAGAACAGCCTCAGACCGAACATAACCAAATGTTAATTTCAATCAGATTTAAACTGGTAACTTGGGAAAGGTTTGCGGACTCTGTGTGAAATTATTTTTTCAACAAGAACACCTCATGATGGTTCTTCACGGAACACTCTTTCGTATTTTGCCACGTCACATGATGTACATGCAAGCGTCTCCCAACTCCCAAGATGTTTTTTTTTTTTACATGTTCATTTTAGTTGAAGCGTAGATTGCAACGGTGAGATCGTCACCAATGTGAAAAACACATGCGCGGCTATAATCAAGTGTCGATAATTTCCCCGCTTGCACAGAAATATCAAGTTAAAAAAAAAACTCGAAGCCATTCGCATCCATGGCCATTCAAAATTCTGACCAGACAAAATGATACATCGAGGATTGTTCACAGTTAAACAACAATTTTGTGTCAGTACTGCGAGCTGTGAGCTAAATCGGGCCATCAGGGTGTTGGTGGTGTTAACGAGTTAGTGTGAATAATCGATCGCGTTTCAGACCAGTGACTCCGTAGCCCAGCCAACGCCTGTTGCCCATGTTAGAACTCCCCGCCTCAATCCATCCCTACAGGACGAATATGGGATTCGATAGATGCGTAAACGGGCCCTTTTGCAGATATAGAAAGCATGCGCTACAAGTATGACAGCAGTTGCAAAAAATAACAAACATGCATGGCAAAAATAGGATATTTGTAACCAAGGCCGCGTGGGATGGATGAACCCACTTTCAGACAGTGACAGTTAGAGAATCTGAGATTATGCGAGGATATCATCATACAAAACAGTCCAAAGAATGTCGAGGGTCAGTTCGAGTGGACCAGTTCCGGTTGTATCTTGTTTTTACGGCACGCGCTGGCACGGCCCTCTAAATACCACCTGTGTCATATCTATATATGCCTGGACTCACTCAAATAATATCCCCTTCTCTATTTGCAGTAAACCCCCCAAATATGTACCTGTCTTGCTCTAAGTCGAGCAAACAACGGGGGACGGGGGACTGTTATATGGCCCGGCACACTGTTTGGCCACCTTTGTGGATTGACTTGTTGACAAACTGTGTATTGTGGGACGGAACTTGTGACGATATATTAGTCCGATCCGAGTGCTTGCGTTGCGACTTAGCATACTTGGGATGGCTGTAACAACCAACATTGGCATGTGTGACCATGGAGGGGGAAAATAGAGAAGTGATTTACTTGGATACGTCACGTGGAGTGTATTTGAAGTTGGCGCTCATTATATGATACGTCTGGAATTTCAAAACTTTGAAGAGGTCATAGCATTTCCACCCATAACCACCTTTTTGTCAACCTTAAAATCCACACACACCAAATTATTGACTGAACGTAGTTTAAACCAACCTAAATATTGTTTGAAAAAGTTTATTCCGGCTGTGCAACAGTGATGGCATTAGGCGTACAGAGGTAAATTGTTTCGAAACAACATTAAGAAGACATTGTCGTAACAGATGTCTTGTTTGTTGAACTGGCGTAAACAGAGGAAACACAACTGGGGAGGCCTTTTTGTAGAATGTAGGTCACCAATCGCCATGGCTAAAATTACTCAGCAGATCTCCACAGAGATAGTGTGACGATGATGTCATTTGGGGGAGGCCTTTTTATAAAATGTAGGTCACAAATCGCCATGGCTAAAATTACTCAGCAGATCTCCACAGAGATAGTGTGACGATGATGTCATTTTTTGTATCAATGGAGGACGCTTCAATTTGTTTGATTTTATCCCACCAAAACATTGCGTTGCGAAGGGAGTAAAAAATGAATGCTGTTTGTTGTGTGTTAATCTGCTTTAACATAGTTTCCTCATGACCGGTGACATTCCGTCGTCCAACATTTTCTGGGCTTCCTTGCACGTGTTCATTTTATTGGTGTCTTGCGCAAGAGAAGTACAACTTGAGTGTACTTGATCAGGCTTAACGTTATATTTTGTCTATTTCGAAATACCTATTGAACACTAGTAGCCAAAGAATCAATTAAAAAAGTACTTTATGTGTGTATAAGTATGTTAAAGTTATCCTTTCGTCACCTTATAAAAATATTGAAATATCTGATTTCTGTTTTCTATTCCGTGAATGGCAACCAACACGCTTAAATGCTTTTGCCCTTGCAACCAACAAGCTTAAATGCTTTTGCCCTTAACGACAAGTAGCACGTAGTTTGTGTAGTCTGGACGAAATTGCAAGAGTTATTTTTCTGTCGTCGTTTTCTTTAAAGATGCGTTCCCCATGCTAAGTTCAGTAAAAGAAAAAACATATTCCTCTTCTAACTTGCTAATTTTCTGGTAATACAAAGGTTTTTCTCGTTTGAATGAGACATCCACCGCAAAAAAGTGGGCCCATGTTTAGTTATTTAATTATTATTTTTTTTCAATTTCGAGTTATTGGCTGCCAGACAATAATTACGTTCTCGTGGGGTAGGCTGGTTCCCGCCCCAAAATCAATATAGATATTACTCGGACTGGAAGCCAGTCTCATCGCAAAGCGAACGTTTGTACGCCAAAAACAAAACAAAAACACTATTTTTTTTCCAGAGAGTTGCAGACGTCCAACAAATATGGGAAAGGGGTTTTTGGTTGGAACAAGACATACAAATTGAATGTTGAGAGTAAATTTCAACACCACAAAAAAAAATTCGATAACGTAAATTTACCCACGTTGGGTTTTTGATTTAAAGTGTTGCTACAAATGTTTATCTTAATTATATTAATAATAAGTGTGTTGTTGTATTTGTGGATGTAATCTTTTGGATCATGGTAGCGGCTTCGTATATCCTGACTATTTTTAGTGCCGTCAAAAAGGCATGACCTGCCGTTACAGTTTGGTATAGTGCCTCCTCTATGGCCTGGTCAAGCTGATTTTAACTGACTTGTATTCAGGAGCCGTATATAAAAACACCGAATACTAGCCAGTGGGTGTCCTTATGATTGACATGCCCATCATACTGCCATCCTATGCCCCCTTTGAAAGAAAGATCAGACACAGAAGCTGTACTCCCTTTCCACCGGTAAAAGCGTCTTTAGGGCTTCAACGGTGCCAATGCCTTTCTCTGTCCTACAGTATCCGGCGTTCCCTCCCGAGATTTCGTGCTTCAATCTACGGCCCTGTCATCGGTCATTAATAATTTGGCCGCTAATTAGCCAAGTGTTTATTTATTTTTATTTGTGTTTGCACTCACGCGATGATTCTCGTGTCTTGAGTTCTTTTTAGCCCCGTTTGTGTCCCCCTGTGGCGTTTTTAATTTGCCGACTCATTCACGCTACCTGAAATCACTCACTTTCTGTTTTGGATCGGCCGAGGCCGCACCGATCGCCACCTGATTTCACCTGAAGCTGGTCTTAGGATCCTCTGCGCATGCTCAGACCAATCATCTTGTTCTCGGAGGCGTTTCCCACGTGTCCCTCGTTTCGCGGTGTGTCATTCACGAGATAATTACCATCTTTTCTCAAACGTCACGCTATGCCCGGGCCAACACTGCGCTGATGGGTCAGTTTGCGAAAAAAAATCCCGGGTGAATAGCGCGATAAGCTTTGGAGGGGAATGTCTCGAGTGCCCTTGGTATATACACACTGCCATTCTCTGTTTTGGTTCAGAATCCGAAGTCAACTCCTCGAGTGCAGTTCTTTCGCGTAGCTCGCAACTGCACGGTCTCTATTCGAGTGAATCAATAACAGATTACTGTTTGAGGATTGTTTGTGCGTGCGCTAACTTTTTTTAAAAACCCCGACGAATGCAAAGTAGGAGAGAGCTAGGTGACTGATCAAGAATTTCATTCCCCTTACATCTCCTCTGCAGGATCAAGTGATACGCTTAGAAACGAGAAGAGACCCAGAGACATCCTCAGACTGAGAAAAAGAAGTACCCAGTTAAGAGATCATCGTCTCGGTGGAGGAGGTAACAGGGAAGATAGTAAAGGATACCCAACAGTTGGTCTTTCGAAATTGACTGTAGGTGAGGACACCTCTTCGAGAAATTCTGAAGTGGCCATTTGAAGAATCAAAGAACGTTTTTTGGTTGATGAGAATTTGCACCTCATTTTAGTCGTCTTTCACTGCTTCACCGTTACCGTATCAACTACTGCAAAGTATCATACCAACTTCGGTGCGTTTTTTTGTGTGAAGGTAAATTGAATCATCACGTCAGCTGTACTCCTTGTTTGGGGAATAACTAAGTTGTTTGCTAACATCACCAAGAGTCCCAAAGCATTTGATATCGGCAAGCATGCACGAGAGCAGGAGGAGTAAAGTTCCGGCCGTCTGTACGGTGTTGGTGTTGCTGGGCTGTTTCGGTTTGGCGAGGTCCACACCAGTACCGTCAACGTCGCTACCTTCTACGCCGGTACCGTCAACGCGGCTACCCTCTACGTCGGTACCTTCTACGCCGGTACCTTCTTCGCCGGTACCGTCGAAGTCGGTATCGTCTACGCCGGTACCGTCAACGCAGCTACCGTCTACGCCGGTACCTTCTACCCAAGTGCCTTCAACGCCGGTACCATCTACGTCCGTACCATCTACGTCCGTACCATCTACGCCCGTACCATCTACGCCCGCGCCGCCCACAGTGCGAGCGGCTTCTTCCTCGGCCGAGCCGCCGTCTATCGCAGCGTCTTCCCCGGCCACGGAACTCCTGGAACCCGACGAAGCCACGGAGTTACAGAGCAGTCTGCCAACGGCATCCGTCCAAGACCTCGATGTCAAGGTATGAGTGCATTTGCTTAAAACTATATACATCGATGTTAAACTCGGGTGTGCTCATAGCATGATGGTTAAAAAAAAATCCTTGTTTCTGGGTGAAAAAAAGAAAGATTGAGACCCTTTAACTAAGTCTTTGTTTTCAACTATCACGTGACAGTTGCACCTTTTTTCACGCACACAGATGTACAATTATTCCATTTTTAGTTTTGTTTGTAAAATGCAATTAACGTTAATATTCACCTTTCTGAAATCGTTTACATAGACAGTTTAAAAAACTACAATTGTTTTCATAAAAATGTCGTTGAAACTACTTAATTGTCATCGACACCAACTTCATTGTTGTTGTGCCTCTGGTGTCAGTGATGTTAATGGCAATAATTATGATCAGAGCGCAAATTGATATGTGATTTGCACTCCACATTTCAACGGTTGAGATCTTGCGTCTACACGTGTTTTCATGGGATGCAAGTTATTTGCGTGCCCGCAAAGTTGGTTAATATTGAGAATTTTTTTCACGACAATACAGACCCATGATTTGTTGATCTTTGCACACAAAATTTCGTCAGACTCAGGAATGAACACTGGTAGTGCTCAGTTTAGATGTGTGCATGCACGAGTTTAGCGCGAAGCAAGAATCATTCAGCGCCGAGTTCACCTCCAAAGACTGCATAGGCCTACCCAAGATTGACAAGTGAAGAAGAAAACTTATGTTGCTATAGGTCCCCCAACGCTTGGTTAGCTCTCGATAATGACTCCCCTAATCACGGTTCAGCTTGTGGTCCAGTTGTTCACAATCGCCCTCGACTAGGGCTTTACCCTCGCTGTCATTGAAGGGAAAACCTCGGACAATGAGCCAACAAGGCAAGACGTCTCCTTGAATCGACCAAATCAAAGACCGGAAGGGGTTTCTCCCGTCAATGTTTGCCCAACACGCTGCCTGACTTCACGGTCCTTTATTCAGCTGCCCATCACACAACGCGTGTAAACACAAACTGCCACCAAGTACACGTTTGTAATCATTTCCCAAACATTATACACATACCGTTCACCTGGCGACATATTGCTCCCTTTCCGGGGCTGGCACTTCATTGTAAACTTGGACACGTGCGTGCAAAATACCCAAATGCTCATCCAACAGTTGCCTTATTAGTATCGCACAGAAAATGCGTTTGTAGATCGGATTTATGGAATTGCAGCGCTAATCACAACAGTGTCGTACATCTGCCATGTTGGATAGCTGGCTCCTTAGAGAAAGCTAGTTTGCTCTCACAGATAAATTCATGCAGAAACATGCGGTTACCAAACTGACATTATGGCAATGATATTTTGGACGAAAAAAATAGTTCAGAATTACACACATTAATGCTTCCTGTACAGAGCCATCGAAAGAAAGTTCGATTGTTCGTGATGTGCATGCCCTAATCGCATTTGATATTTCATTAACTGATGTTAAATTTTATTTAACACAAATCTGTAACAAATTGACAAAACAATGTGCGAGACCTGACTCTTGCGTTTACTTGCTAATAATTTCGTTTGATGTTTTGTATAAACCTTTTTTCAAATGCTGGTTGCGCAAGAGCTGCATATTTAGAGCTATTTGGATTGTTTGCGCTTCATTTTTTTGTACATTTTCCCCTTCTTTAAAAAAAAAAGTGCTCCAATTTAAGGGTTCTTTTTGTAGCTTGTGGGTGAAAATTACGTCCTTTTGTTCAGTTCTTTATAATCAGATCTTTATATGCATATGCTTTTTGAATGCAGAAATTTCTCCAGAATTATGGCTACATGCCGACCTACAATCCATCTAAGGACAAGTGGGAGTTCACGGATCGATCCAAGACACCGTGGCTGGACATCAAGTCTGTCACGCCGGCTCCCGGTGCTACCGAGAGCGCCGACACGGTGGAGTCCGCGGAGAAGGCACTTAGTAAGACGGTTGACAAGAACGGCACACTGGCCCAGGAGGAACGGACCAAGTTCGAGCAGGCTATCGAAAATTTTCAGCGGAGGTACAAGTTGTCGGTGACGGGTTCTATCGACGAGGAGACCCTGCGCTTCATGCAGCAGCCACGCTGTGGCGTGCCCGACTACGCGAGCAAGTTTGACACCAAGACGGTACCGACGAAGATTTCACCGACGAAGTCGGCACAAGCCAACTTGGACATAAAGGGAAAACTGGACGTGGCTACCGGCAGTAAAAGCAGCACCTCGAGGACAACCATCGGCAATGGTAGTGGAGCACTGGGCGGGACGCTCCGGAGCAAATCGCTGGCATCTGTCACCGGCGGGCGATCGACGGTTTCTTCACCGGTCGCCAAAGTGGCAGCCAGGACTCAGGGCACGCTGACCGGCCAGGTCTCAAAGTCCTCGGAACCAATCTCCGTGTCCGACTTGCTTCGGCAAACACTACGACCGAAGGCCAACATCGGCGAAGCAGGTGCATCTGGAAGCGATCAAGTGAAAAGCACCCATAAGACAACAGAAATCGTGACGGAAATTATCACCGACTTGGTGACAGCCAAGGTCGAGGACTTGGGGACAACGACTACCCGTGCAGCTTCTGCCACCACGACACTCACGACAGCGACGACGCCACTTTTAAGCAAATCTGATCTCGCTCGCAGCAAGAGGAGTGTCAGCGGCGTCCCAGTTCAGGAAGCGAAGGTACGGACCAAGAGGCTCTCTTACTATGACTTTGGCAGCAACACCAGTAGTACCGGCATTGCTTCTCAGCAGCAAATCAGCTGGAAGATCGACAGCGACTATTTGCCTCAGATTTTCTCGTTGGACGAGTTGAGGAGCCAGTTCAACGAGGCTTTTCGCAGGTGGGCTGAGGTACTACCGGTGACTTTTGTTGAGATGCCGAACGGAGACGTCCTCCAAGTTAATATACAGATTACCTTCTTGAATTCACGTAAGTAGCACGATGTTCCAGTCAACAGAAAACATAGACCTTACTTAATTACAATTACGTGTAGCGGTCCATGTGCTTATGAAGCCGCTTTCTCGATCTAAAAGAGGTCATTCCCGACACAATACTTAAGCAGGTTACATAATTCAAACAAAACGCAAAAATTTCGAACGCTATGTTCAGTTGGACATAATTTTAACACTGCATGAGGCACAGCATCTCTTTTGATGGTCAGATTTTGCATATCTGGAAGGCTTTGCAGCCAGTCATCAAGCTGAAAAGAAAATGTTCGTATAGATGCGTGTAGTGTACCACCATAAAACAAAGCAGCTCGTTCAACGAAGTATACTTCTTGTCTCGAACTTTTTTCTGCAGTCACGAGTAGTCACTTCTCCTTTGAGTTTGCCACCGGCGAGTTGGCGCGCACCACGCGGACCGCCACCCACCAGGCTATTCACTTCAACGACGACGTCCAGTGGACCTACAACTCGCTTCAAGGAAAGAACCTGATCAAAGTAGCGGTACATGAGATCGGCCACGTGCTGGGCCTGTCCCACAGTGACTCCACCGAGTCCATCATGTACCCGATCTATGTGCCCTTCGACTCCTCCGACTCCAACTTTCGTGTGTCGATCGACAGTGAGAGCCTGTCCAGCGCTCAAACCATTCACGGTAAGTACGGGATTTTACCACCTTTAGCAGGATTTTTATTTCACGTACAGTTGAAATGTTAAGCGAGCATTTTTAATTAGAAACGTTGCCGCCTGCACCAGGATGTGTGCAGTCAAACCTAGGTTGAGAATTGATCATGATCGGTATCTGGAAACACCAAATACAATACATGTAGTTATATTTGTATAATACAAATTGTGTACCTGTAAATGGTTGTCTTAAATATATAGTTGTCAGACAGTGCACGAAAAGTAATGATATAAACGTCCTGGGATGTGTTCGATTACCGGTGTGCTTTAAATGTTTTGTATTAATTAAACAGGTACCTCGAATCTTTGTAAAAAGCTGGTGGAAGGCATGTTGAGTAATACAAGTTTAAAAAATATAAGGTTTTGTTTAATCACTTGGTAAAGGCAATTAGACAGAATCACATTATAAAAGAGTAATATAATTTTGTCTCCTTTTCCGTTCAAACACAAAACGTATTGACGACCTATCCATAATTTACAGTACAAACTACTGACAATAGAGGGTGAGTAAAAAACGAAACCCAAATGTCGGGACTATTGTTTTAGTGAAGTTCTGCTTGTGGCACTTTCAAAATCTAGGATATGAAAGCCCAATTCAGAATCTTTCTTTCAGTACAAGAATCATTCAAATCACTAATGTACTTTTCAAGTTACGGAAATTTAAACACAACTACCGTTTTAAAGTTCTGTCCACGGATCACAAAAAAGGTGTGCGTTCTTTCAGCAAAACAAAACCAATTCACGCACATCCCTATGTGAGTTTACCTCGATTTCAATTTAATATGGCCGACTCGTGAATAAAGTCTTTTTTATTTAGGACATTAAGCCGTCAACAAAAGATCAGTTCGGAGTAGTCTTGGGTTAGTTCGTGCCAAGACAAATTCCGTATTCAACTTCAACCTCCAATCTGCACGCAGGTACTTGTTCGGGTTCATTTAACACCATCTTAGACTGGGTGCGCACCGTGGGCAACAAGAAAAGGTACAACTCCCTTTTCTTCCGTGACGACGCGCTGTGGGTCTACGAGAACACCAACGACCGGGTCAAGATCGGTGACCCCCGGACCGTGCACGACATGTGGGCCTCCAACGTGCCGACCAACATCGATGCCGCCCTCCAGATCCTGCCAAGAGGCAGCTCCGTTGACAATCTGTATTTCTTTAAAGGTACGTGCTTGGGCATATGGTAAATCAAAAAATAGGCGATCCAATAATAATGAGCTAGAGGTGTGTTAAAATTATGAACTTGACCACTGTCGGTGCAGTTGTTTCTTAAAGGGGGGTTTATCAGCTTTCCATTAATACCTCACGCCTGCAGTCAATGGTGACTGAGAACCACAGATTTCAAGACAGAGAGTAAACCATGATTTGCCAAGCTGGTCTGCTTGGAGAAAGATGGTTCTTCGCTTATGTTTCGATGTCAGTGGTGCTCAGTCATTTTATGATTGCTGGGGTGCAAGTAAGATATCATTAAAAAGCTTGCCAATTACCCTTTCAGATGCAGTGCTCATTATCAAAGTTTTAACATACATGTACATGTACTTATTTTAATTACATTATTTGATACATCCTGTAAAAGTATCGTTTGTGACCTAAACACACACGAGAGCCAGGAGCACTTTTATAGAGGTGCGCATGCGGCATAGAATTTCGTAAAGCCCAAATAAAACAGGCTTCAAACCATAATGTCTAGAGATGAACAGTGGTATGAACTAGCTCTCTTTCTGATTTCTTCTGAACGCATAATATTGCTCAGCACTATTTTAAATTCAAGAGATCCATGAAATTTGTCCCTGGGGCAATGCCACTGTAGCAACTCGGGTGAGCCACTCACCTAAGCATGCCCTTCGACCCTCTTACTTGTTCACTGTGGAGGGGTAAGATCCGCACGATGCGGTTAATATCAACCACCAATTGTTAATGTGGCAGGCTGGTTAACCATCTACAAAATTGTCCTTCTATTGTAGGTAACAAATACTACCAGATCAACCACTCCACCCGTGCAGTGATGACCAACTCTGACGGTAGCATCGGCCGGCTGATCTCCGAGGGTTGGCCAGCCAAGACCGGCTTCCCTCGTATCCCGGACAACATCGACACGGCCTACTTTGACAAAAGGGACAGCAACGTCTACTTCTTCAAGGGAAACCAGGTAAAAAAAGGACGAGCTCACATGTTTAACTGCCAAAGTACATACTAAGTAGAAAGACTATGAAAGGACATGTTAGGTCCAAGTAACTATGGGCAAGTACGATGGGGTGTTTACGATGTATGTAGTTGTGGTTGTGGTTGTGGTGATGTGATAGTGAGGAATATAGTTACGGGTGTGGTTTTGGTTATGATGATGGTGATGGTTATGGGTATGCTTACGGTTATGGCCATGGTAATGGTTATGGTTATGGTTATGCCTTTGTTGTTGTTATTGCTATGGTTATGCTTATGGTTACAGTTGCGGTTATGGTTACTGGGGTTATGGTTATGATTTGGTTATGGGCATGGGCATGGTTATAGTCATAGAATATTTTTGTTGTTTGTTGATGGTAAAACCAAGATAAGGGTGTGCTTTCGACCTTTTCATCAACTTCAACTTCTGGCATAGAATTATTTCATCTCGACCTCTTTCAACTCAAGTGCATTTTGTTTGCGTCACAGGTGTATGCTTACGACAGGCAAGAAGACGGCTGTTGTCTTAACAACTACCCCATGACCATCAGCTCGGCCTACCCCTACCGGTACTCTAGCGGTGGGCTTCCTGGTGACATAGATGCGGCCTACTACTCCATCCACAGTCGCAAGGTCTTCTTCTTCAAAGGGAACACCTTCTGGGAGAACGAGACCTACAATCCCAGCGCCAACACGGTGGTCAACAGAGTGGGGCCGGCCCAGCAATGGAACCAGCATTGGAACAATATCTGTGACGTCTGGTAATACACATACAAACATCCGGATGGTATCAGTATGGTGTGGCCCACTGCACTTGCGTGGTATGTGCGCGTACTTGGCGTTGCTGGCAAAATGCCTTCTTTACGCGTGTAGACATTTCTGCTTGACCTTTCCTCTTGTCATTTTTTCAAGAAGAACTTTTCAATACGACCTATTCTAGGCGAAGTTTCTGGGCAACATCTTCCCGGCTAAAGTGGCGTAAGCTGGGGCCTCTTTTAGTCAAAGTACAAGTTCTAACAATGTGTGCACATGTCAAGTGTGAACTTTGTAGCGTGTGCATCGGTAGCTGGCTACGACTGTTTTCCTGACAGAGTTTGCTGATGTGTTGGTCGAAGAAAAGGAACGGAAAACGCATCACAAAGCGCGTTTACATACCACGCAAGTTAGGAATGAATTGTGCAATCGAAGGAATACACTGCCCAGTCCGTCACATGGGAGGATATATGAATGTAAAAAAACAACTAATAAAAACGGGTCAAAATTGTATTTACCGATTTTTTTTTCGACGAACAGTATTAGTGGGAGTTACTCTGCAGTTAAAGCAGTTGCGAGGGGGCATGTTATTCAAGATGCAGTCTGTAAATTCCGTCCATTCTATATATTATTAAGGTAATGCTTGCTTTATAAGATTGCTTATTTTTATATATATTTTTTTTCTGTACCGCCACTTTAAAGTTTTCTGCCAGTCTGCAGAAGATTTCTATAGATACTGCAAGGAAAAGTCCCCGGCCAGTATACAGATACAGGCTCATGTTTCCGTTGTAACGATCATTATGTTTCTGTTTCTGTACGTGTGATGAACTTAAACAATGTACTGTGCCCTGTCTCAGGTACCGATTAACACTCTTGATTTTTTAAAATCAGTTTTGTAAATATGAGGTTAATCTCCGATATATCTTACTGTAAAATATGGCTTCCCTAGCCCTCTGCACTGCACACACCCATGCGGTGAATGTACTGTAGACTATTTCTCGTCAATTATTTTCCTTTACATATGGCAGTGTTTTCTATATGACGACCCCTAACGTGTGTTCAGTTTGCTGCCGTGCCGGGTATACCTCCTTGCAAAACTGCGCATGTGCGAAATTTTTGAACCATGCCCCCATTTTGCGGGTGTATACTGTTGTCCACGTTGCGCATGCGCGTGCATGTACGTTTCGGCCGGCGAGTATAGCCCAGCACGGTAGCACGCACAGCATGCCCAGCACGCAACCCTATAAGCTGGCCCTTCTCTCCCACGTGAATTATTAATGAAGTATATCGACGACGCATACCAATGCTATTGTGCCGAGTTCATAGGTAGCACTAACAACACTTTTTATTTTAGAAAGAGAGGTACCGTATAACCGTATACTAACAGCGAACAAAATTGATTTAATCCTAAAATAAGCAGCAGTGATGTTGCGAAAACTGACCTTCTGTCTGCGTCTCGAAAAATAGAAAAAAAGAACCAGGCATGATATATTTGAATGTTTGCTTGCCATCTAATAATGTGTTTGACAAATTACCAACCAAGCGGTGTTTCCAGTCAATATCAACAAAATCCACAAACAAAATTAAGACAGCTTTCTGCTAGCTAGACGTCAATAACTATGACTTGACTTATACACTTACGTCAATAAGTTCTATTTGTTCGATTTTAGTCTGTTCTCGAAGGACGTAAAATTCGTACCACACTGTCACACGATTTTTGAAACTTCGAAATCACAGTGCACCCTTTCGCGGTTTTCTCCTTTATTTTCTCCCGCGTTTCCCTTCATTTGTGTCCACATCTTCGATGAGGTATACAGAGTTACACCCTTTTGCACCGCTTCATTGGAATACTCGTAGAATACTAACCATAGAATTAGAATGTTAGAATTTTTTATCGAGGAAACAGATCGTCGGAAAGTTTGTCAGAATAGTTAACGATTTGCTAATAAAGGTGAAAGGGCAATTTCATTGAAGATGTAAATAATAAATGTGAACGTATTATTAATAAGTTTGTACAATCTAATAAAAGCAATAAGAATGTGTATTTATATATATTTTTCCTCTACCCAAATAGACTAGAAGTATGCTAACAATATTTTAAATAGTTTTTATCGTCTGCTCTTTGGCCAATTGGCTATTAAACTCTGACAAACTTTTCAACGATTAGGCTAGTTCTTCGAAATATTTGACCGGCATTGTGTATTAAATAGTAAAATTGCTTACGCCGTTTTTTAATTACGTAGCATGGAGTATTTTTATGACGCATATGTTTTTTTAAAACTTATCTTTAAACGTAAACCATGAGTATTTGAATTGAAAATGGTGATGGGAACAGGATACCAACCGATGACGTCATTGTGACATCATCGTGTCTAGACTTTGCCTACTAATTGATTGACAAGAGTGAATTGTAGTTAATTTTGTTTTGCCTTGCACAAATTAAACACTCGCTTGATGTTTTTTTTTTCAATAAATTTTAACTGTAGACATTTTAGCATCTTGACTACACGCACGTTGTGTTGATTAAAACCTTAAGAATTTTATTTTTATTAAAATAAAATTCGTTTAATGTAAAACGATCGTGGGACAGATTACACATTACTTAGAACCGAGGGATTGAAAACTTGCTTCAATGAAATGTTGACTGGAAAATTTTACTGTTAAATGACAAAAACATTAGAACAGTTTAAAGGTGTACGGATATGCATGGAAAAACATTGCAGAGCTGTAGCTCTGTAAAACAAAGTATGTTCAGTCCTTCAAAACGAATGGTAGTAAATGTACAATTAAATTTAATTATTAAAAGTATAAAATCAAAATGTATAATTCTGATGAAAATCGATTGGGTTGCTTAAACTAAGCTATCTAATAACTTGGTTAATAATTAATAACAGAATCCGTATATGATATCCAAGATAACAGCAACGTCAGTTGTTTTCACGGGCGTGGTTTTAAAAAGTTTTAGTGAAGTATACTCTAACGAAACATTTGATGGTATCATTGTAAAAGAACCCTTTTAAAAAAATTATAATTGGCTTTTTACTTTGGCTTAAAATAACCCTTTTTGGTCTGCCCAACACCAAGAAAGATGTATTATTTTATTTTTTTAATAACCTTAATTATTTGTTTTTGTTTCTGCCAGTGACGTTAAAAGTAGACGTATCAGAAGTTAGCCTGGAACCGACCAGGGACTATATTGTGAAATTATAAGAATTGCAAAATATTGTATCTTTTGTACTCCGTCCGATGTGTATTTTCATTACACGTATAATAAAGATTGTTTCGTACGAGGCTTAATTATTTGACAAAAAAAAATACTGTTACCATTTTATGTAATTAGTTTCCATTGTTCTCCACGAATGGATCATTAAGTGGGTTGCTTTTATTCTTAGAGAAAGAAACGACCTAAAAGATCGTTTTGATTAATACCCTTCATTTGAGAATGAACTATTCCGACACGAACTTTTTTTAACCGTCCCGCCAAAATTTTAAATAATAGTTTATATACAGCTTAAGGGTTTGTAAAAAAAATGTACAGAATAGAATATAAATATCACTTTCTTTGTCTTTTAGTATAATATTATGTCGCCGAACCATCATCCGAATAAGTTGTGTAATAAGGTGACACTGTACAATCAGTTACGCTTTGTGTGAAAGACAAAAACTTTGGGAATAAAGTTACGTTCTAATTTTTATGATTATATTATGCTTAATGTGTCCGTTGTATGGACAAAGTGATCAAATAAAAGAGTTTTAATATTTCTTAAAATACGGGATGACAAGTGTGCGATTGTCTATTATTTTGTCAGTACGATTCCATGGTCTAACTTCATTATTATCAGAATACCTTAGAGGGACAAGATTTAGGGTCGCCATGAAGCTGTCGCATATGCATGTTTGTGTCGCCATCAGTACCTTGAGAGGCGACCATTATTGCACTAATGTCGCCCTGGAGGTATATACCTCTAGGGGCGAGTCGCCCCTAGAAGTATGTATGTTTGTGTGGTCATCAGTACCTCTAGGGGCGAGTCGCCCCTAGAAGTATGTATGTTTGTGTGGTCATCAGTACCTCTAGGGGCGAGTCGCCCCTAGAAGTATGTATGTTTGTGTGGTCATCAGTACCTCTAGGGGCGAGTCGCCCCTAGAAGTATGTATGTTTGTGTGGTCATCAGTACCTCTAGGGGCGACTCGCCCCTAGAAGTATGTATGTTTGTGTGGTCATCAGTACCTCTAGGGGCGAGTCGCCCCTAGAAGTATGTATGTTTGTGTGGTCATCAGTACCTCTAGGGGCGAGTCGCCCCTAGAAGTATGTTTGTGTGGTCATCAGTACCTCTAGGGGCGAGTCGCCCCTAGAAGTATGTATGTTTGTGTGGTCATCAGTACCTCTAGGGGCGACTCGCCCCTAGAAGTATGTATGTTTGTGTGGTCATCAGTACCTCTAGGGGCGACTCTTTTTCAAAGGCACATTTGTTCCCAAATCGAATAGGAATGTGTTCAGGGTTACCTTAGGCATCTTTCCAGCAGGTTTCAAGGAATTTAAATATTTTGGCCAAAATTGGAAAAAAATACAAGGGGTTTAAATTTGGCCAAAAATTCACTTTTCTCAAAACAACGCAGAAATTCCTCTGGAGACGTGTGGAGCATGGATCAATATTCAAACACCCAAATTTTGGCAGATTTGGGTAAAAATCATCCAATTTTTGGAAGGAAATACTTCAAATAAAACATAATTTTGACTGTTTTACGCCAATTTTTGGCCAAATTTTCTTTTTAAAAGGCACATCTGCTCCCATGTGTTCAGAGTTACCTAAGGCATCTTTCCAGCAAGTGTTAAGGAACTTCATTTTTTTGGCCAAAATTGAAAAAAATACAAGGGGTTAGCCTTACATTTTTATCCAAATTTGGCCAAAAATTCACTTTTCTCAAAACAACGCAGAAATTCCTCTGGAGACGTGTGGAGCATGGATCAATATTCAAACACCCAAATTTTGGCAGATATTGGTAAAAATCATCCAATTATTGGAAGGAAATACGTGTAAATAAACAATAATCTTGACTGTTTTTACCCCAATTTCCGGCCACATTTTCTTTTTCAAAGGCACATCTGTTCCCAAATCGAATTGGAATGTGTTCAGGGTTACCTAAGGCATCTTTCCAGCAAGTTTCAAGGAATTTCATTTTTTGGCCAAAACTGAAAAAAATACAAGGGGTTAGCCTTACATTTTTATCCAAATTTGGCCGAAAATTGACTTTTCTCAAAACAACGCAGAAATTCCTCTGGAGACGTGTGGAGCATGGATCAATATTCAAACACCCAAAGTTTGGCAGATTTCAGTAAAAATCATCCAATTTTTAAAGCGAAATACATGTAAATAAACAAAAATGTTGACTGTTTTACCACAATTTTTAGCCAAATTTTCTTTTTAAAAGGCACATCTGTTCCCAAATCGAATTGGAATGTGTTCAGGGTTACCTTAGGCGTCTTTCCAGCAACTTTCAAGGAATTTCATTTTTTGGGCCAAAATTGAAAACAAATACAAGGGGTTAGCCTTACATTTTAACCAAATTTGGCCAAAAACTGACTTTTCTGCAAACAACGCAGAAATTCCTCAGGAGACGCGTGGAGCATGGATCAATATTCAAACACCCAATTTTGGCAAATACCGGTGAAAATCATCCAATTTTTGCAAGGAAATACTTCAAATAAAAAATAATTTTTAATAAAATAAGTTTCAAGGAATTTCATTTTTTTGCCAAAATTGAAAAAAAATACAAGGGGTTAGGCCAAAAAAAAAAGTCTCCGGTTTCTGGTATGCGCGCGCGTCGCCGTAGCCATGCGCGTCGGCAAAATGAAAAAGGTTTTTTTTCAATGAAAGATGATGTCTCAAAACCGCCAAACTCACTGGTTTGACTGGAATCCTGCTGCTGCACAATTTTAACGTGTTTTTAGATGGGGTTATGATCGAGAATAAGCTTTATGTGGCCTCTCTGGACTCCCATATATTTGCACTAAGTTTAGTCGGGCACCATTTGCAGTCATCAGTCGACATTTGAAGCAAAAAAGTCAGGTAAAAAAAAAAAAAAAAAGCCGCGTCGCCGCACCACTTTTTGGACAAGCTCCATACCAGAAACCGGAGACTTTTTTTTGTGGCCTTAGCCTTACATTTTTATCCAAATTTGGCCAAAAATTGACTTTTCTCAAAACAACGCAGAAATTCCTTTGGAGACGTGTGGAGTATGGATCAATATTCAAACACCTAAATTTTGGCAGATTTCGGTAAAATCATCCAATTTTTGGAAGGAAATATATGTAAATAAACAATAATTTTGACTGTTTTATCCCAATTATTTGCCAAGTTTTCTTTTTCAAAGGCACATCTGCTCCCAAATCGATTTGGAATGTGTTCAGGGTTACCTAAGGCATCTTTCCAGCAACTTTCAAGGAATTTCATTTTTTTGGCCAAAATTGAAAAAAAATAAAAGGGGTTAACCTTTTATTTTTAACCAAGATGAGTGACCTGGAACTGCTAACCTTCCAACCAGCCTTGTCAACGGTCCAGCGGTGATAAATTATTTGAAGGTTCAATTCCATTTGCCTCAAATCGATTAAACACAATTGTCTTGACAATTGGAAGAAAACGTTAAATAACAAATATAATAGAACCGAAACAATGTAGTGTTTCGTGCGCGAAAAACGCAACCCGAATCAAAGTCAACTTTCATGGATTGAAAACATTGTACTCGGTTTTCGGCCGATAACTCAAGGAATACTAGCCGAATAAATTGGAATTCTATTCAGTCATTAGCCATGATATCTAACACGAGTCTTTCGAATAACGAGGGAAATGATTGCAAAATTATATAAGCAAAACAATATAGCGTGTTAAGCGCGAAAAATGCAAGGCGATTTTTTCAACTGTAATGACACAAAAACAACACACTTGGTTTCGAGACAATTACCTAAAAAATACCTCTTACATTGAATCGTAATGTTTTGTTTTCATTTAGTATGATGTGTAACACAATTGTCTTGACAATTGGAAGTCGTGGTCAAATAACAAGTAGGCCTATAATAGAACCGAAACAATGTAGTGTTTCATGCCCGATAAACGCAACCCGAATCAAAGTCAACTTTCATGGATTGAAAATATCGTACTCGTTTTTCGGCCGATAACTCAAAGAATACTCATTGTAATAATTTGAAATTCCATCTATTATTGGTCGTGATGTTTAACACAAGTCTTTCGAATATCGAGAGAAATGATTGCATAATTAAAATGGTATTAGCAAACCAATGTAGCGTGTTAAGCGCAAAAAATACAAGGCGAATTTATTTCAACTTTCATGATACAAAAACAACATACTTGGTTTCCAGACAATAACTTAAAAAATACTTCTTACATCGAATCGTAATATTACATTAGTTAAGAATGATGTGTAATACAGTTGTCTTGAAAATTGGGAGAAGTCGTCAAGTAACAAAATAATATAACCGAAACAATGAAGTGTTTCAAGCGCAAAAAACGCAACCCGAATCAAATGCAACATTCGTGGAATAAAAAACATTGTAGGCCTACTCGGCTTTCGGCCGATAACTCAAGGAACACTCGTTGTAATAAATTGAAATTCCACCTAGTTATTGGCCATGATATCTAACAGAAGTGTTTCGAATATCGAGAGAAATGATTGCATAATTAAAATAATATAAGCAAAACATTGTAGCGTATTAAGCGCGACAAATACAAGGCGAATTTATTTCAACTTTCACTTCACACAATAACAACACACTTGGTTTCCATGACAATACCGTAATATACACTGTTTACATTGAATCGCATTTTTTTTTATTCATCTAGTGTGATGTGTACACAATTGTCCTAAAAATTGGGAGAAGTTGTCAATTAACAAAAAAATCTAACCGAAACAATGTAGTGTTTTATGCGCGAAAAACGCAACCCGAATCAAAGTCAACTTTCATGGAATGTAATATCGTGCTGGGTTTTCGGATGATAACTCGAGGACGGAGGAATAGTCGTCGTAACAAATTCAAATTTCATCTAGTTATTTGCCACGATTCCTAACACACTGTCGAATATCGAGAGAAATGGTACCAAGATGGCCGCCCGACCGGGCCCTTTTCAAGATGGCCGCCAGTATTTTTTATTAAATGGCCGCCACTTGGACTCACGAATGACATACCAGCTTATGGGCTAGATGCAACAGACAAAGAGGCCAGAATGATGTCACTGTTTAAAATTTATCACTTTTTCGTGTTAAAAAAAAAAGAAATAAAGGAGGCGGCCTCCAAAAAGGAAGCGGACGGGGACGCTAAACATGTTTTTTTTTATTTGGCCTAAAATAATAATCAGAACAATGAAGCGTGTTAAGCGCGAAAATACAAGGCGAATTAATCGCAAGATACTCGTTTTCCAACAATAACTCTGGAAATACCTCATGTATCGCACTGAAATTACATTTGATGATTTGGCATGATATATAACACAAGCCTGTTGAATGTCAAGACAAATCACCGAACAATAGAAATAATATAAGCAACACAATGTAGTGTTTTAGGCGTGAAAAATGCAATCCCAATTGAAGTCAACTTCCATCAGGAAATATAATAAATGAAACAAATACAACATTTTTGTTGTCCAAACAATAACTCCAGAAATACCTCATGCATCAAACTGAAATTACATTTGGTAATTTGACATGATATATAACACACGCCTGTTGAATGTCAAGAGAAATTGTCGAACAATGGAAATAATATACGCAAAACAATGTTGTGTGTTAAGTGCGAAAAATGCAATCCCAACTGAAGTCAACTTTCATTGTTGATCAAAATAATTACACTCGTTGTGGCCACAATAACTCGAGAAATACCTGTTGTGATGAAAATAAATTTTGAAAATTGATTGGTTCTAATGTTTTACACAAATCTACATAATTTCATCACGACATAGTTGTTCACTGAGGGCACTGAATCACCTCGAACCGGAAACCGACTGATACGATCCAACGCTGTATCTCAATGCGGACAACAGACGCCATGACCGACTGGTTGAAGAAATTGGTGTGTGGGGTAGAAGCATGGTGGATATCACCGCCATCAAACACCTGACAAACGCAACCAGAAAGTAGGGGTGTGCAGTGTGCTATAATGGGGTGATTTTCTCCTTTTTTTAGGGGGGGAGATGCATTTCCCGCGCTGGTTTCCAGTTTCACCTCGAAAATAGATTTGTTTTTCCAATTGCTATTTTCCTAGCAATATAAAATGTATTCATTTTTGAATGAGACATCGAACGAAAAGAAATTCCACCGACGTTTAGTTGGGCCCTATTGAATTATTTCTTCACAAAATTCGAATTATTGGCTGGCAGACAATAATTTGGCTCTCGCAGGACGGGTTCATTTTGTGCGCAAAATGAACGCCATTTTTTTTCAGAGGGTTGCATACGCCCAAAATTGGGATAAAGTAATTTTTCGTCACAACAAAACATGCAAATTAGAAAATCGGTCGGGAGGAAAACAAATATCGATTTTGGGAGAGCACGGGGAAGGCCTATGCATGTTTAAATATCCTTTCTGAGTGATATCCGTTTGATATTTCCCCGGTTTGCAGCATTGCTCATGTTGCTAGCATCGTGCGTGACTTTGGGGTAAAAACAGAATCAATTCGCCGTTGCGCCGGAGTTACGAACACACGATTGTTTTCGAAGTTAAAATGTTACAATCTTGTCCCGCAAATATGCAGTATTACATTTCATATTAATACGAGCAAATTGGAAAGGAAAGATATAATTACAATGATCGTGAAAACACATTTTGAACGTTGGAAGTAACAACACCAAGTACACGATATAAATCCATTACTAGCCAATTGCGGTATCGAATTTAGGATACAGGAAGAAAGTTTCCTATCCAGGGCTTACTACTGGAAACGAGGTTGGAAATAAAGTCAGCACTGTTGACTAAGTGGTGTTGTTACATACCGTGATATCCCCGTTGTCATCCCTGACGTACTCGTAGCTAGATGACAAAGGTGTAGGGTTGTATGACACCTTAAACTCCCTCACAAGCCATGTACTAAACTGCAGTTGAATACCTTGTGTGATGACGCCAGACACTCTGGTAGTTTGGACCAGATCTACCTCGATCCAACTGCCATAAGGACTGCAAGAACAAGATGTTCAGTCATTAAACAAAAACGGGTTTGTGCTTCTGCTCGTATAATGTACACAACTCCCTGTACAGTGGTAACGGGTGGTTGTATGGTGAGATCATTCTACAATCCAACAAGAGAATTCTGGCTCTATGCAGACACAAGGGCGGATCCGGGGGGGGGGGGCAAAGGGGGCCATGCCCCCCCCCCCCCCAAAAAAAAAACCGAAACCAATTGGGTTTTTTTATGCGACGTCGCAATAAAGGCAGGCAATGAGTACACCACCGTCTTTTCCTAAAAAAAACATTGGCTAAAGTGGTCAGAAATTGCCTCAGATCGCACCACAGAGCATCGAGAATCCAAAAGAAATTCGGGGCCCTTAAGCGGGCCCCGAACCCCACGCCGTAATTTTTTGACCCACTTTTTGGGAGACACAAAAAAAAATTGTGGTCCCCCCAAAAAATTGTGTTCTGGATCCGCCCTTGTGCAGACAGCACATTTTATAAAGAAACAAAAAAGCTGCATGGCGATAATGTGTTTGATTCCCTCCCAGTGGTCTCCCCCATCTCTCTCCCTGCCCTCTCTAGGCCGGAGTGAGGTGGTAGGCTTATGTTCACGGAATCCATTACTGCAACAACGTCACACTAAACACTCAACTTTAACACTCACAAGCGTGGTCTCCAATACGACGGACCATTCAGTCGTCCGTGTGCAGCACTCGGACTCCGATCCCCATCATCTGATGACCGAATGCGCTCATCCGGAATGCTACCGTCTTCTAAACCCAAACGACGAGGATTCAGACAACCACCTCGGGTCAAAGTAAAATAAAGACTGGAATCAGATTCATTTTTTTACCCTATATGCAGACGGTCCCGATCATGGGCATTGCCAGGATTTATTTCCAGAGGGGGACAAAGTACATTGTTTCCCCCAAATCCCTATAATTCCCAGCATTTTCCAGATTTATCATTTTTTCGAGGGTGGGCAGGGACATGCCCCCAACGCATTAAATTAACAACAATATGACTTCGTGCCTCTTTTTTTTCTTTCCCCTGACCACAGTTTTCTCAAAGGCAAGAATAGCTGGCGTAAAAACCTAACAACTGCAGATTATACAAGACTGGGGAAAACAGACAAACAAACCAAAACAAAACTTACAACAACAACAACAACAACAACAACAACAACAACAACAACAACAACAACAACAACAACAGCAACAACAGCAAAACCACAAACAAACACCCAACAAACCAACAAACAAAGAAACAAAACAAGACAGGATAAGACTAAACAAAATGAAACAAAACAAGACAAGTCAAGACAAGACAAGAGACAAGACAAGACAAGACAAGACAAGAGACAAGACAAGACAAGACAAGACAAGACAAGACAAGACAAGACAAAACAAAACAAAACAACAAAACAAAACAAAACAAAACAAAACAAAACAAAACAAAACAAGACAAGACAAGACAAACAAAACAAGACAAGACATGACAATGACAATGCAATTAATCATAATGCAATGTACATGTATTGTAGGGAATCGATCAAGCGAATCTTTCACCGCTCACGTGATAAGGTCACGTGGATGCAAAACCTCAATACGCAATAATGCATCATGAAATCATCTTTTCACCCCTAAAATGAATCACATGGGCTTACCTGTTGCAACAACATCACATGACCTTGGACATCGTGCCCTTACGAAGTCCTTGAAATGTTTGATCCACTGGTAAATGTCCGGATTCTGCAAGTCCGGCATTGGCAGACGGCCAATATAGCAAACCTTAGGTTTGGCCTCCACACCGTCCATGAATACTAGAACTTTGGATATTGGCAGAAAATAAATACATACACAAGTCATGTATTACACTGTAAACCTTAAAAAAAAAACCAGAAGCAACATCAGCAGCAAAGCGGCCAAACCAAAAATGGAAAACCACAAACTAAAATCCCAAACCAAAATAAGAGAAACCAAAAACCAAAATAAAACAAACCAAAGCAAAGTCAACAAACATTCCCAAGCCTCCCCCCTCAAATAAAAATAAAAATACCAAAAGCAGAAATTAACGCTACTGCAAAGAGCTCCTTTGCCAAAGAAGTGCATCTGATTTACTTGCCACAAAATGTTTTTTTTAATGAATAAATAAAAGAGACATTTCTGTTCACAAAAGCTTACCACTGATTGTTGCAAAGAAAACCACAACAGCCCATCTCCCCGACATGTTGGTTAGTTCCGCAGTATCGGTATACTGGTGCTAATTGTTCAGAAACAAAGCGCACGGTACTTGCTCTGTCCTGCAATCTACATCAACCGCGAACGACTCCCCCCCCCCCCCCCTCTCTCTCCCCCTCCTCCTTCCACGGGTCCACACACGGCTTGAATAATTGGATTGTTTTGCATCGGAGCGTAACACCAATCGCTTTATGAACAACTCGGACCTGCAATTTTTACAAATGAGCTTTTTGAGAAATGAAAACCGCTGCATGCACGCTTGAAGCACATGTGGCTCGTACATCAGATTCCCTCCTAGTCAGGTGGCATAATAATGGTCGGTATCGTGACTGACTGGTCCAACGCACCAAACTTGATTCGAAAAAATATAGTTCCGCAATTTATGTTTTATTTATTTATTTTTTATTTACGTAATCTTTAGTGAGGGTAGCTCCGATCAGTGCAGGGCACTGCTTTCCATGCAGGCCCTCAATATGAGAAATATGAGACCCACAAGGTGCTGCGGCGCATATTGCAGCCACTGGGGCAAACCCCTTCTCTTAGCGATAAGTGTTACTGGGTTCTTTAACGTGCATTACACAACACACGGGACCTACGGCTTTACGTCCCATCCGAAGGACGAAGCAATAATGGTTAAGTGCCTTGCTCAAGGGCACAAGTGTCCGGGCCCGGGCTCGAACCCACGCCACTGTTGCCTCTGAAACACCAGAGCATGAGTCCGGTGATCTTAACCGCTAGGCCATGACACTCCACAAATGCAATGTCGGTACACTGGTGCTAATTGTTCAGCAACAAAGCGTAGGGTCGTTGCTCTATGCTGCAATCTACAACCGAGATCAATTCTGACTCCCCCCTCCTCCCCGGCTATAATTGGAGTGGTTTGTATCTGAGCGTAACATCAATCGCTTTATGAACAACTTGGACCTGCAATTTCTACAAATTAGCTTTTTCAGAAATGAAAACCGCTGCACTCACTTGAATCACCTGTGGCTCGTACAACAGATTCTCTCTCTCTCCCCCTCCCCCTCCCCCCCCCCCCCCCCCCCCCCCCCTTGGGGGAAGTTGAAGTGAGCCACGATTAAGCATATTGGTATACGACGAAATGGCATGGCGGTTAGCGGCAGGGTACAGGAAAATGGTGATGAACTCGGGGAGAACTCAGTGACGACACAAAAACAGAGAGAGATTCGCGTTTGTTTCAGCTACAAGTACAAACTCAAGGCAATCACGGAGTGACGTTTGTTTTTAATTGTTGTCTGTTTAAGTTGTTTTGTTCATGAATCCGTGCAAGTTACTGTAAAATGCATGTACAAGTTATTTTGATATTGTTGAAACCCACAAAATTGGAAAAGAAGAGGAGCTCCAAGTGGTCACAATGAACCTTACTGTTTGTAAAATTGAAACAAGACACGGCAAGCCTCGTATTAAAAGCTGGTCTTAGAGTGGGCAAAATTCTAGTCGTAATGGGATTATTGTATGAGACGAACTTGGGGGAGTTTTTCATGCACGTGGTCTACATAGTGAGCCGGATTTAACCCATTCATTGGCCTTACGTACACGGGGAAATCGTTTTTCAAACTTTTGGGCCAAGGTGATGGGACTTGAGCAAGGCTAATGAACAAGTCGGTCAGATATCCTGCGCGCGTCTCAAGAATTATGTTTTGTACATTTTGTAGAGTGAGAAGCAGCCCTTGGTTTCTCTGTACTTTTGAACGTGGAAGATTGCTGGACTATAGACTCACATTTTGTTTTATTTTCTGAAACAGTGGCAGTATTAATATGTTGAAACACACAGCATGTGGGTGGTTATGAATATTGAAACTGCTTTTGATAAGATACAAAAAATATATATACCGGCGAATCAACCCGACAGTATCAAGAGGGCTTCGCCCCCTTGAATAAAAAGGGGCTCTGCGCCTTTTACCCCCGCCAAGGCAACGACAGCCCTACAACCCCCCCCCCCCCCCCACCCGTTTTGATTGTGGGCCACCGTCTAAAAAAACTCTGGAATCGCGTCTGGGTACACGATTTGCTTAGGCCAAAAAAAAAAGTCTCCGGTTTCTGGTATGCGCGCGCGTCGCCGTAGCCATGCGCGTCGGCAAAATGCAAAAAAAAAAATTTTTCAATACAAGATGATGTCTCAAAACCGCCAAACTCACTGGTTTGACTGGAATCCTGCTGCTGCACAATTTTAACGTGTTTTTAGATGGGGTTATGATCGAGAATAAGCTTTATGTGGCCTCTCTGGACTCCCATATATTTGCACTAAGTTTAGTCGGGCACCATTTGCAGTCATCAGCCGACATTTGAAGCCTAAAAAAAAAAAAAAAAACAGGTAAAAAAAAAAAAAAAGCCGCGTCGCCGCACCACTTTTGGAGCAAGCTCCATACCAGAAACCGGAGACTTTTTTTTTTGCCTTATGTACGTTTCACAGCACTGGTGATGCATAGGAGCTATACCGGTGTCATATGCAATTTTAACTCCTATGAAATCCGGTCCCTTTGACCGCATATGGACGCTCACTCTCCCCCTCTCACCTGTCGCTGTCTTAACTACGACATGCGCAATACAACAAATGAGTTGGTGTTTCATTGAGTCTAAATTTCAAACCATACCTGTCCTGACATCACTAGGAGCAACTTATGCGTGTGCACAAAAGTGGCTCAACACGGGTTGAACGAACGCTAGGGACGAAGCGCTTAGTAGAAGGCCGTTGCGTGCGAAGGCTGGATTGGTCGGCTTTTTTTCCCGGGGACGACTGCACCGTACGTGTTTACGGCGAGTGGGCCCGGCGGCAAAAATAAATGCCAACAAATCGCAACAGTCGCGCGCCGATGAATAGAACTGGTGGTTTTAATTAGTGGAAGTATTTAGGGCCTAATAAGTCGTTTACATTGAATAATGAATTATTATGGTTTTCCAATGCAATGCCAGATTAATTTTGAAAGTCTTATTAAGTAGACGGGGCTACAGGTAGGTTAGGTTTTTTTTAATAGCAATAAGCAGCCAAACATGTATGTGTCACTGTAATAATAGTCTCTCTATTCTCTCTATTCCAAATGCAAGGTTCAACAAACAGAGCTGAGTTGAACGGGATTGGAACCTGCGACCTCCAGAATACCCTTTCAAGCAACAGGGTTACACAGAGGTCTTTTCTCAATTGGAGAAATCACCAGTTTTTAAGAAACATTCTACGATACTTTTTCGACAAGAATGAAAGCTTTTCCGCAGTCCGTGCGACTCAGAATTATCGCAGTGTTGAGTCAAAACTGGCGGTAATTTGTTTTGGTAACGTGAAAATTATGTAGATGTTAAGGTATGCGGTATTAACACCGTGTAGAGATCTATCTTGTTTGTGCCTTAATTAGGTTCTGAGAAGTAACCGGTTTAGTAACTCGACCTATTTAAACAGTAAGCATACACGCTCTGTCCGCCTTGAGACCATGGGCGTCGCGAGGGGGGGGGGGGGGGGGGGCAAGGGGTTGCCCCCTCCCCCGGAAAAGAAAAAAAAAAGATGTGAGAAGTCACATTTGCTATTAACATTCAACAAAATGGGCATCTGCAGGGGTGTCAATGGGGGTGGTGTGGGCAATTGGGCAACCTCGAAAAAATGATAAATTGAGAATAATTATGCTAGAGAAAGTACAAGGGTTTGGGGGGAAATGTGCTTTGCCCCCCCCCCCCCTCCCCCTAGAAAAATCCTGGCGACGCACATTCTTGAGACGGACACGATGTGTACAACTCGTCAAAGGTTAGCGCTGTCAGGTTTTTACTAGTGCTACGCCAAACAACCCCTCCCCCAACCCCTTCCTTATGGACTTCGCGCGTGCGTTACCCCTGAACAAAAAAAGAATATCACAATGTTTTGAGAAGAGTCAAACGGCTTCAATAGCGAACACTGCCATTCCCTCGCTGGCTATTTTCCTTAGCACGCAATGTTTTCCGTCTTGTCAAAACATGTGTTTGCAAACCAAGCCGACTTTCTTTTTTCCTCTCTCAGAGGGCGGGGCTTCTTTGTAAAGCGTCCCCAAACAAATTGGCGTGCCCCCTCCCCCCCCCCCCCCTCAAAGAGGGACAAGAATAGATCGAAGGTTTGGGCCCACAATCGCATTCCCAACACTCCGTTTTTTTTTTAGCACTATGAAACACTCTGGCAAACTGCTGCTAAATTCGACTGATACTATCACTTTCACTTAGAACTGTTGAATAGTCCCTTCTCGATCTTTTAATTGTATTCTGAAACAAAAATGTAATAAATAGGCACGCGTATAAAACACGGGAGAGAAATGGTAAATTGTTAAAGTATTAAAGTAGACATTATATAAACGATCAAGTATTGTGTCCAAATGTGACGAACTTCTTCAGCGCCCCGCCCCCTCAACCCCCTCCCCCCGCCTATATTGTCTTGCTGTGAAAAACAGAAGTATTATCCATATACTCATCGAAAAATACTATCAAATGAGAAAAACAGGGATTAACTTTCAAAGCATGTGTTCGTGAAGTAATAATACAAAAATGTAATTATCTTATTGTTCAAAACACTGACATTTAGACAAACAGTATATAATGTAGACTTAAAATAATTAGATTGAAGAAATTTGAGCTATAGAAGATCAAGAAAAATTGCAACATAAAGTGTTAATTGCCTACAAATATCAATCTGCCAATCTCGCTAGCGTGACAATCAAACACGTTCGCGTGGATAATTTTTCAACAGGAACATGGGGTATTTTTTTCGGGAAATAAAAAAGACGAGAAAATTAACATTTCGAGTGGGAAGAGAATTTTTGGTTTGGCAAAGGAAATTTGAGCCCGTGCTTGCCACATACCTTATCAAGGGCTTTGCCATTAATCTTTTACCACTGCGGACCGTGACAGGTTGAAAAAATAAGTTTGGTAATGCGCACTCGAACGTTTAATCCTTTTTGATGTCAATGGTTTTGTTGGCACACATTGCGTGCAAAGGGCCGGACCAAAACGAAAGTTTTGCGTCCAAAGGGAAGCCATGAAAGTATCGGCCTTAGATGATGTTGTTGTGGAACAACAGAACTCAGGGGTCATTTCTCTTCTGATTTGACGGTCAGTTGCCCGTCGCTTACCTGGGAAAATTCTGGCCGAGATTACCCGCCACTTTTTCATCAACAGTGATACAAAAATGACGTGTTCGACACTCGGCGTTTCGAACAAAATGATATATGGACAGGTACAACAACAATGAAATCTTTTTAAACTGAAAGTATTCGATTTGTTCGTTACTATATGCATGATTTGAGATAAACGCCGAGTGTACCGATGTCCCCTTCAGGCTAGAAAACAAAGTGGGATCATACAATTATCTCAACCCAATGCATAGTTTTAGACGGATAACCTTGACAAAAAATAGTCGGGGTGTTTGATATGAAGGGGGAGGGGGCTGAGTGAGGGCGGCCGGGGAACATGCCCCCGGGGAAGTTGAATCTACGATACTTTCTCCTGCATTCTAAGGCAATTTAAGAATAAATGTATGAACTTTAGCATTCCATTGATTATTTTTGACCCCATTTGACTAGTATCATAAATTAACCAGCGGCTGAACCAGGCCCGTCGCCAAGGGAAGGGGGGGGGGGGGGCGGTGGGGCCGGGCCCCCTTGGCGAGCAATTCCCCCCCCCCCCCCCACGGCAGAAGCCAAACATATGTATTTTTGTATTTTTTTTATGGTAGTGGGCCCCCCCTAGTTGGTACTATGCCCCCCCCCCCCCGATGCTCAGGGCTGACGACGGGCCTGGGCTGAACGGGGTAGAGGAGAGGGGTGCAATCCCCGCCCCCTCTAGATCCGCCACCGTAAATAGGCCCTTGTGGGCCAAATCACGATTGTGTACTGTAACGTTTTCTCTTTTTAATATGGAGACTTTTGTAGCCCCTGCACTTGAGGGTTTGTAAAAATGGAAGTTCCCGTCTCTAAATCAGAGCTGCTTTTATAGGGGGTGATCATTATTTTGAGGACAACAAATCTCCAAGAAGTCATCCATTACACGCCCGATAAATTGAACACAATGCAAAAGAGGCTACATCAAGCTTTAATTTGATGTATATCTTGATCATCAGTGAAAATTGTTGGTATTTTCCTCATATTTCTTTTTGGAAGTGGGGAATTTATCAAAGTTGCCTGTGGGAATTGATTTACTGACGGTCTGCAACCATAAGCCTATAAACGCGCGTTATTCGCCGTGAAAAAGTATACCGGGAGAAAAACCTTGCAGCCAAGGCGACAAGAAGCCCGTACAATAACCCCGCCCTCGACTGCTGGTCAAGAAGGAAGAGAACCCCCAAAGGCGCTTCTTGCACTGGTTGTCGTACCAAAGTAAAGTAAACAGGCACGAGCCATTCAGCCACACGGATGGTCTGTGGTAACCTGTCAAAAGTAGGCATCTCCACACTTTCATGACCTCCCTTTCTTCCACCGCCGGGGAGGAGGCAACGGCTAGCGGGGCCAGCGAGCCAAAGCCCCGGTGCGAGTTTCTGCTGTTCTCGGCCAGCCAGGTGTCTGCGTGCGTGCAGTGGGACTGACTAAGTGACTTAACAACAAAGCCGTGAGCCGGGATGAAACCCCACCTCTGCTGGCTTTTGGCCTGCTAATACCCAAAGCAGAACCCACTGAGCTGCACTCCCCGTCCGCGGGGCCGTGTCGCCAAAGATGGAATAATCTTGCCTGTAACTTTCTTTTTGCCACCCGTGGTTCTTGGCAACTAGTGGTTAGCAAACTACATGTATAGGCGGCACGGCTAAATCTCTCTCTTCAGGGGCAGATCTAGCTGTCAGGAAACGGGGATGTTGGGGGGGGGGGTGATATGAAGGGGGGGGGGAGGGGTGTTGACATTAAGGGGGTGGAAATCCACGATGCTTTCTCCGATATATTCTAAAGTAGTTTGAGAACAAAGGAACTTTAGCATTCCACTTATTAGTTTTGGCTAACTTTACTACCAAGATAATATTAGTCAGCGGCTGTGCGGGGGGGGGGGGGGGGTGCGACCCCACCCACCCCCTCTAGATCTACTACTGCTCTTCTATATGCTGTGTCAACTGTAAGTGGCCGTGAACACAACATTTTCAATCGGTGGTAAAAAACAAAACAACAGTTCAAATGCAATTTTGTGAGGATCTATGTGGTATATGGAGAAAAGGCACTTCTTTTTAGCCTCAGGCTAAGTTATTGGTGTGGAAGTTATGTCGAAATAAAGGCCTACAAACGGGCGGTGAAATCGGGTGGAAGGTTGTTACTCTAATACTTTTAGTAACATAATTGGCCTATCATATCATTTCCAAAATATTTCTGGAAAAAATGCAGAAACTCTTTCAAAACACAAACATGTTCAGCAGGATGGGTTGCCATCCGGCTCTTTTAGGGTTAACGCATCCATTATTATATCATTTGACAATCTATTTAGATATTGTTTTAGGAACAATTGAGAACATGTCCACACAAAAGTAAAGCACATTACTATATTATCAAGGTTGTGCTTTGTTTTCCTTTATTAAGAAAACAATCCAATCAAAGTTAGAAAATTATACAAGCACTGAAGAATATTAATAGCCTCCCTTTGAAAATTCTGGGTTTGATTTTCTTCACTTTTTGCTTTGCTGTTTACTTCAATAAATAAAAACATTTTAAAAGTAGACTTTAAAACTTCTTCGTTTTATTTAAACAATAATCTTTTCTGTTAATTTAGATGAATTTAAAATGAACGTCTGGGAACAATGATTTACGGGAGGGAAAAATGAAAATGCAAAAAAAAGATGAAAAATTGCTTTAATAAAAGTATTGATTCATTCTGTTCAAAATGATCACGTGACGCAAAATGCCAAGAACTTATTTTAGGTTATATTTTCCGTGCCAACCCAAGGAACATCTGTAAAAACTGCTTTGAAGTTACACTAAAATATTAGTAGTATTAGCTTTTTTTTTGTATTGCACATCGTTACATTACAGTTTCCTTGTATAGTACTTAACTCTTCACAAATAATAAGATGATCAGTAAGTTAAAATAAATTTTAAAAATGCAAAACAAAAACATAACATAAAAATTAACAATTCAAAATCAATTTTTATTCAGGGTTAATGCTGTAAAATGCAACTATAATTTGAAAATACTGTTCAGTATTATTTAACTGGCTTGCAAACAACACAGATGTAACATGAATAGTAGTAGGGGCGGAGCATAAAACAAATTAAGGGGGGGGGATTTTGGCAACCAGCTCAAAAATTTCAGGGCAGTCTTCTGTTAGAATCCCACCCGGGCTGAAATGTGGGTGGGTTTACCAGTCCCCTACTTGTGGCCGATTTCATGTTGCAAGTAAGCACAAAAAATTGTTAAGCATAGATACTACTTCCTTAGTAAAGGTTACCAGCCAAATGATATGCAATATATATTGGTGGAACTGGTTCCCTGCTGCTGTTTGTTTAGCACATAAAGTTGCTTTGTACCAATTTCTTTTTCAATGTTAAGCACCTTCATGACATTGGGCCCAGATTCTTTGAATTATTCTCCTGCAGAATATTGATCAGGGCTTGTGAGTGACAGTGTCTCGGTTGCTGTCAAGTCCCATCACAAAGTCATCACAAGGAATTTACTAAATATATTTCTTTTCTTATAGTTTAGGAAAGTAAAGTCCAAAACCTCATAGTGTACACCCCATTTGCTTATGTCGTTTGGGAAAAAAAATTCGCGTCGAGGCCCCTATAAGCCAGCCGGTTTTAAAAGTACTTGTTTAAAGCTATAGTCCATCATTTGCAGCCATCCGAAAAGTAACTGTCGTAATTATTGTTGAAAAACAAACTTGGATGAAAGATAGTAAGGGAACTAAACTCCCTATGAAATTTTTCTTTCTGGGAAGCTGTCATTTTGAAGTAATCAACGAAGGAAGGCATTTCCAACGGTGATTCTTAAGAAGCACCGTAGGAAAATTTAAATTAGTAGTTCGTTTTGTTATTCAGCGCAGCGCGCACAAGTATTGGAACGACGCACACGCGCGCGCGGTTGTTACAATTCGTCGGATCAGTGCGCGACGTCGCGTATAGCTGCAATTCAAAACAATTCAAAACATGATTCAGTAACTTTTGATTTGAAATTGAGATCCTAGAATGCTGTTTTTCTCAGAATGTACAGCTGAAGCTTAGCTGAAACTTCATCAGGTTAGTTGCTCAGTATCCTTCATTAGATTTTGGACTCTTTTGTTGCTTCAAACGAACAAAATGCACAAATTACAAATGATGGACTGTAGCTTTAAACCATAGAGCAAGGTAGTTCCTTGCTCTATGTTTAAACCGACCAAGCAGGTATATATTCCCTTATGGATCCACATTTCTTCATATCATCATGATGTCTTTGCAGGTTTCTTCAGGCTTGCGAGTCACAGTGTCACTGTTGCTGTCAAGTCCCATCACAAAGACATCACAAGGAATGTACTAAACATGGGATGAACAGTAACAAAGGAATGCTTCTGTCGCAGTTTACTTCAGTAGCTTGACATGAGATAGGATGACATGTCATTGACTTGTGATTGCATTGTGAGAATTTGTGGGGACTTGTGACAATGATCTATGGGCTCTTTTGATAAAATGGCTCTATAACCACAAATATAACGAAACAATATCGATTGCAAGTTTGCGATCAAAATGAATTTGCAAACACTGACACACAAATAAAACACACAAGAAATGGATTTCCAGCTCTGATTCAGCCAAAACAGAGAGGTTTGCTCTTTTCATTTAACACCCTGGAACAACTGCTGCACCTCGTCCAAGATGCTGACCAGTGTCTTAGTGGACTCGGGAGTCAGAGACGATGAGGAGGAGCAAGATGAGAGGGAGGATGGGGACGATGATGAGGGACGGGTTCTCCCCAAGGAGGCTGCATACATCTTCTTGTAGTCGGCTATTTGCTGCATCCTGAAAGAAGGTAAAGGCAAAATTAAACAACACAAAAGTTTTTGGGGGGCTGACCAAAGTTGCTAACCATTAAAGGGGCACATCATCCTGAAAGCGCCAACATTTTTGGCTTTTCCACTGAACAACGGAAAAGCCTTTATTTTTTTTCTGATTTTGTTTTTCTTCTTTTTGAACTTTTTGGGTCCACCCCAAATCCCATTGAATTTGTACACGTTTTTGGTGTGATACACTTTTGACCTAAAACAAAGTCCTATGTTGTTAAGTGCTTTGAGGAATCTTTGATTCATATTGCGCTATATAAAAAATAAAACTAAACGGAAAAGCCCTATGTTCTGTTCATCGAACAGACATAGCTCTAGTTATGTTTAAGATTCTTCACTTATCCTACTTCAAAGGTCTGGTTGAAAGGAACTAACCTAATGTCGCACTGTTCCTGAGTAAAGATGGCAAAAAAAACCCGGACTCGGCGGACATTTTCTGGCAAAGCATACGTATTTCCAGCTGTAAATGCAAAGCTCCTTCTTGGACGTTAGTTACCCCGGCTTCTGTGTCGGACGCCTCAATATACAGTACACGCCTTGTGTGTGTACAGATTACGTAGAAGTACACAAAATACACAGCACCAATAGACACGTTGTTTCCCGCACGTGCGCAGCAAGAGATGCACCGATGGAACACATGCGAGTGAAATCACGGCTAGCACTCAAACAGCTTGATTTTTGAGAGTCAAAATTTGACCCTCGGAATTTGTTCTCACGAGAATAACACAAAAGCGGTCAATTTTAAGATGATGGTTCTGTGGAAGTTTATATTCTTCTTTTAAATGCCCTTTCCATTTAATATCATTTCATTTAAAGCCCGATCGGTCACTTTCAAGGACGTAGTGTCCCTTTAAGGAACACAATGAAACTAGTCTCAGCTCAGTCCAAACTACATGTAGGTATATCAATGCAAAAGTGATCAAGCATTTTATTCCCATCTTGAAGAAGAAATTAGGAGGTTGAAACTATGCTAGTCACCTCTGAACACTTCCCATAAACTGTCCAGTGTTAAACAATAATTAGGAAGAGCTATCAATTAAAAATAACTCTGCCTCTCGTCCGATTGCATATTGAATCCTCTCTTACCCTTTCTTGTTAGCGCTGTGCAACTTGACCAGGTTCCGCAGCATATACTGCAGCCTGGATTCCCACATTGTCTCCAGCCTCAGCTGCTCCTCCTCTTCCTCTTTGCTCAGTCTGTCCTTGACCTTTGAACTCTGACCTTCAGCATGTGCCCCCTGACCCCCAATACCGGCTCTTGTCTTGGAGCTGACCTGGGCAGGCTTGTGAGAGCCTGCCTCCTCCGTTGAGTCAACTTGAAGTTTCCTTTGCTGCTCCTCTTCCCCTTCGCTCAGTCTGGCCTTGACCTTTGACCCAAGACCTTCTGCATGTGACCCCTGACCTGTAACTCCGTATCTCTTCTTGGAGCTCACCTGGGCAGGTTTGTGAGCACCTAGGTCCTGCTTTGAGTCATCATGAAGTTTCTCCTGTTGCTTTTTCTCTTCATCAGATGATCCCTTCCCCACTTCAGATTGGAGTCCCTGGTTTCTTGTTCTAGAATTGGGCAGGCTTGTTTCCAACAAAACTCCTTTTGAGTCCAAAATCTCAACACTGCCGCCCTCACTGTCACCACTTAAACCAGAGGAATCGCCTTCCTCCACGTCCAACTCTTGCGGATTCGGACAGCGATCGACAACGTCCGAGTCAACTCCGTCAACATTTCGCGTGGCACCAGCAGGCACGTCAGACTGCGTCGCTTCCTTGGTTCTTGCTTTATGTAATGCGCTCAGCGCGTCCTTGCACTGCAGGAGGGCCTCCAGGCCTGCATGTAATGTCTTGATGCGTGCACTGATGCCAGACTGACCTAAAATGTCAACAATTCATTGAAATTGGTATACAAGTCCATCAGAAGTGAATTGCAGGTCTAATCACATGTCGGTTCACAATTTACAGGGGAATTAGCAATGACAAAGAAATTCTGTTGTCAACTGTAAACTTGGAAAATCGCTTGTTAGCTATAGACCTCTTTGTGGATTGATTAGAAGTTTGAAGAGATCTGGCATTGCATTGCGTGACAGTCTGTATTATACAACACCTGAATAAATCCCCGTCTTCTTGTCGGTAGGTCGTTGATCACATGTAAATGAATTATTCGTCCCAGCCGCAACGCAAAACTAGAAGTTCTATTCCACGGTAAAAAGAAGTGTTATTTCACGCTGACACTATTGGTAACACTGACAAATGAGATGACGAGGATTTGTTCAGGTGTTGGGATGGGAAGAATCATTTCATTTGGTCACAGATGGAATGTTCCGTTCCATGAGGCAAACCTCTGTCACCTCATGAAATTGCTCTTACCATTGCACTCATGAACATTCATTATCGGTATACTATGAACAAGTATTTTTGAACATGAGTTCATCATTGCCTTGCAACATAAGCTCTTCACTGCATGAAATGCTGTAGGCCTGATCGTACCATAACGGACCTGTACACTTTTGGTCATATGCCCCGCCCACCTCTGGTTTGTGTACATTTCTCACAGTGCTTGTGACTGGGTTCGACGGAGCAAATTATGGTCACCTGACCAAAAGCTGTGGCCTCATTGGTCAATGCGTACTGTTTGAATGACCGACAGGAAGGGTCCATTCTTAAGGCTCATCTCAATTCATATCCGGGACGAGATCCAGACAAGTTGCAGACATTGTATCAGGTATACAAGTTGCAGGATACTGAACAACTTCCTCTCCCTCCAATCCTCCCGGCAATGTAGTTATCAGTCAAGCAATTGCTAATAAAAATTTCCCCAGAACATGTCCGGCACAAATGCAGAGCTTCCTCTGGACAAAGTGAATGATTCTACCTGCAACTTTTCCTGAACTCGTTCTGGATATGAATTGAGATGGGATCTTACCAAAGAAAAAAAAAGGATCCCTGAAGATTCGAGCAATGATGTATGGGCTCCGAGCGCCAACATAGGAGGGCTCGTTTTTACCACTTTTGAGAGCTCCGTGGACGAACACACAGTGTGTGCGAACTTTACTGTACTGGTTCGCGTGCAAAGTATGCACGACTTCCTGAATGTGCCAAAGCTAAAGCCACAGGGTCTTCGCGTGAGCATCAGGCGTCGTCGGCGCGCGACTACGTTTGAATTTTACTTACGATGGTCTCCCAGACTAATCCCCACCCCCAATTAATTTGGATCATTCGAAACACGCAGTGGATGGACCGGGAACCAGTCTAGGTCTCCCCCAACTCTCCTTTTCTGTCCGTTGAAGGGGTACTTGTGCACGGAGCCCATACTGGACTACTTTAGTTTCATATGATATTGACAGGAATGTTTACCTTCAAACTGGTGTTCCAGGAGTGCGACTCTCTCCAGTAGAACCCTGAGCAGCTCCGAGGGACGGTCCAGGTCCTGGAACAGCCTGACGGCCTTCTGATAATGCAGCTCAGCCAGCGAGCGCGTGTGCTTCTGCTTCTGCAGGGATGACTGTGGAGATGGTAAATAAACTGTGATCTTGAGGAGTTCAATCTAAAACACACTGGAACGTAAGGTTTATAAACCTATACAACATACTCATCTAAAAATTGGAAAAAAAAATCATCATCCCAGTGATGTGATAAGTTATCAAAAGTAATCCACCTAAGTCATGGGTCAGGTTTCAGGAGTCTAAACATGCTAGAACAGCTCCTGAATTTATTTGCAAGAAAAGTTATCAATTAAGTCAGCAACATTATCAGGTTTCAGTATGCTCAATTTGTAATCACATCTCTGCACTTCAATCCATTTATCAGTGCGACTGATGAAAAAAATCTTTTTGTTTTTGTCCACCAAAAAACGGAGCATGTTCCTTATGAAAGGCCTTATAAATGGCCTTGTGAGAACTAGCAGTGTTCTATGAGAACAGCAAAGAGTCTTCCAAAATTTCAGAAATCTTAGCTCAAGAGAGCTATTCTAAAGTCAGTGTGCATGTACATTAGGCAAATGTTCCCATATGGGAAAAACTTAAGTTCCTGAGCAGGGTTTGACCTGAGCAGGGTTTGACCTGAGCAGGGTTTGACCTGAGCAGGGGATTGACCTGACGGTAGTCCGCCTGCCAAATGCGAGTAAAAACATCGTAGTAATAACAGGTAGTATTTCCAGTGAAAAATGTTCTGAGTTCCAAACATGCTTGCTTACCTGATTTCTGTAGGCATTATGATGCATAGATGCTAAGCGGTGGTGTATGGTAGCTGCCCGGTACTGATACACAGGCTGCTTGGCTGGTGTGATGTCCTCTACTTCACACAGATGCAAGGCATTGTTCATCAGTCCGATGATGTCCTTCTCAACCTAGCAAAGAATGGACCTGTACATTAACCCTCCTACTGTTTGAACAGTCACAGACAGTCAAAAATTCCATGTCCTTCCCCGGCCATGCCTTTTACACAGGCTAGTCACCAACAGAAAGATCATATTTCAAGCAAGCACTGTGACTAGTCAAATTCAGTCAACAGGCAAATCCAGGCAACTGGTAGGCACAGCTGGCTTATCAATCACCTACAATCAAAGCATAGCTGTATCAAGTTACATAAACAGCCAGTCAATTCTGCTTTATGTACATAGGCTGGGAGCTCGTAACTGTTGAAAACGGTCACATGATTGATTTTGACTGCAAAGACAACTTGGCACAGAATTCATGTTTGCTTATCAAAGCCGATACGCCAAAACCGAAATGCACAATCAGCAAAAGAGCGCAAACGATGCAAACACGTGTTTTGGAGATATACCTGTTCCTGAGCCATAGAAGACAGGGGTGGATGGTCCTGCAAGATGGTTGCCATGGCAAAATATGTAGATGACAGTTCCCATGTCACTGATTCCCATAGATACGGGTTCTTCTTGCGCTGGCCAAGCTGCCTCAGTGCCCTCTGGTAATAATCAATGGCCTGCAAAGAAACAGGAATGGAAGAGGGGCTATCAATGTAGGAGACAAAACAAACTGCTTTTATCGTGTCTTGAATTTGTGATTTTCATCGATCCAAAATGGTCTGGCTTCAACGGTAAGTTTGTTGACCGAATGTGGCGTCATTTACATGATGCAATTTCTGTCAAGTACGGGGTGAGTCCAAAAAATGTCTCTTTGGATACGTTCTTGTCGCCCACAAAAATAGGAAATATTACTAAATTTTTCGTCTGGGTATTGACCACACAGTCAGTAAAAGTTTTCCTGATATTTAGCCATGGATGAAAAGGACACAGGCCTTTCTTTGTGACTACCCAAAAACACTACCAATACAATGTTTAGAATAGGCCTTTTGCTATCAACACAATGATGACAATGGGCCTCAAGACGATGAAGGAAATAAACGGAATAACAGAACAGGACGTCAATTAAATGGAATTACATTCATTGAACTTGAAACTGAATTTATAGATAAGCTTCACATTGTCACTGTTCTGTTCAGGTTCTTGCTTGTTTCATTTTGTCCGTATTTTACAACGTTTCTGCGCACTGTCCGAGCGTTAGGCTGCTGTACATCCGGAAGGTGTTCTCCAAATTGACCTATCGTGTCTTGTACGCTATTCGTTTCGTAAAATGTTCACACCATCAAGTGACCTCCGGATTGCCGTTCCGGTGCTCTACTAACTGATCTATCCAGCCCTATGTTGGCGGTTCACCATTTTGTCAATGGTCTTTTTTCAAGGGGCGCTAGATAGAAGCCATAAACCCGTATATGTCATGTAGCCAGGGATCAGGCCCAAAGTCACGATGCTAGCAACATTAGCAAAGCTGCAAACCCGGGAAATAGTAAACGGAGATCACTCAGAGAGGATACGACTAGGTTCAAACCCCGCTCCAGTCAATTTCTTTGTTCAAATTTGAAAAACAATTCAAACTTTATATGAATAACCCAAGCAGTAACCAGTGGGACTTTTATCTACCTTGTAGTAGTAGGAGCGTTCCTGTTGGCTCATCTCGCTCCCGCTACAGAACTCGCTCTCGCCGAAGCTGAAGGCGCACAGTCTCATCAGCTTGCCCATGTTGCACAGCAGGAGGGCGATGTTGGCCCCGTCCTTCACGCTCTCGAATATCTCAATGCCGGACTCAAAACATCTCAGGCTCTTGCGCCACAGATCCTGCTCACTTTGAAGACTGCCTGTCACCATGAAGTAGACAATATAAAACACTGAATATTTTTGAACTGTACAAATACCATCTAAGAATCCTAATGTTTAAATTCGAAGGCAAACTACTACCTACAAATATCAGGTCCATGTTTGTGAGGAATCTAGATGTTCATTTACATAACACAAGATCAGCCAAAAAAATTCACATTGGTAAGGCTAGGACCGCATCATTCATGAAAACAGTTAGACACCAAGGCCCTCTTCTTTGGAATCAGCTTACCCCTATACCCTTCTTTCGGACTGTGCATAAATTCAAAAGATATCTAAAAAACCTACTTATTTCCGGTATTATATAAGACGTGCACCCATAATTCGCATTTGTATAAGTCACACTCCATCATAATTAAATGTTATATTGTAAATTAGTACATGTATATTTCAATTTCCTTCAGTTTTTCTACTATTATGCCAAGTAAATATTTAATTAATTAATTTATTGACCACTGTTTTAAACTATAGCTATAATTGTTGTTTATTTCATAAGTTATTCACAAACGGGACCAGGCTCTGTATAAGCTTAGGCTTTTTTCCTGGTTCCCTCATGTGTCACCATTTATGTTTAATTGATCAAAGTGTTGTACATATATTAGCATTCTATTAATTTTAGTTATTGTTGTAGTAAATAATGTTGCATGTGCATTATATTAATTTGTGACAAATAGAAATAAAACAATACAATACAATACAATACAAAGCAAAACACAGCATTGCATGAACAGCCACAGTTTTTGAATACGGAGTTTCAAAACGTTAGCTTCGTGAATTTTTAAGATGAGTTGAAATCCTCTGGATCAGTTTGGATCCATTGTGTGCTACTAGTCAGGTGGCATATGGTCGGAATCGTGACTGACTGGTCCAAAGCACCAAACTTGGCAGATAGATTCTTATAGCCCTACAAAAGATATTTAGAAGGGGTGACACCTGAAATTCTTATGGGAATGCACGCAACTTTAGGGTATAATAGTAGCCATTTTGGATCGTTGCTATGTTCTCATAGTTATTCAGTCACTTATATGCTTTAGAAAATTTTTAAAGTAAGGATGTGTATTAAAAGTAGACTTACCAAAATATACTTTTCAAAAAATAAGAAAAATAAAAATATGACCAAATATGGGAACAAATATGTTACACGGTAGGTCTTTACGATTTATGCAAATGAGGCACCCTTCCCAAAAGAATTTCAGGTGCCACCCCTTCTAAATATCTTCTGTAGGGCTATAAGAATCTATCTGCCAAGTTTGGTGCTTTGGATCAGTCGGTCACGATCTTGTCAAAAATTGGGTCTAAGCCACCATACGGAAACATTATAGCCTTTATATTCTTTTTACTTGGGCAAGCGTTGCTCAAATGCTTTGCCCAGTGCTGGCCAAAAAAAAAAAAAAAATGCTGACACTTTTTACAGGCAAATTCTTTCCAAAAGTTTGTAAAATTTTCCTAAAATGATCCAACAATGGAGGTTACGTTATATCGAGTAGAAAACATTGCTTGACTTTTTTTTTACCAATTTGTTTTCAGGGTACTGGCATAGAGGGCCACACTCTGACGAGATTAGGAAACTGTCTAAGTTATCATGAAATGCTCACAAACTGACGGAACAAACATTACCTCTAGGTTCAGAATTTGTTTTGTCTGTGTGTAATTGTTTTGTACAATTCGTCACCGTTTTCACGAACTGACACGCACATGCTGTGTGCTTTCATTTCGTGAAAACAGCATAATCAATAATCTTGGTTTCACAAACTGTGCGCACGCACTTCGTACACTGACATGTCAAAGAATAATTTTGGTTTCCACGAATTGAAACCCAAGCATGTGGCGGAAATACAATTCAGAGTTAATACTTTGGAAGGTTTGTCACGAATTTACTCCATCCTTACACCTCTGGGGTTACAGAAACATTTAATTAAAAACCTTTCAACTGGTGAAATTAAGACAGGTTTCAGTTCGTGAAAACCAAAATTATGCGGTTCTATAAAGTACGCGCACTTGCCACGTACGCATGTACATGTTCTACATAACCCCCGAGGACAGAAACACAAAGGGAGAACAACAGATCCTTTCAGTCCTCGGGAGTTGGGTCTTTTGTTCAAAACGGTTCTCTGTAGTAGGTTCGTGTGCTTAGTCTACGAGAGAGTGTTATATTACAGTGACAAAGGGAAACACAAAGCATTGTCCTCGGGTGTATAGTAAAACAAGAGTGTGTGCACCACAGAGTGTCAGTTTGTGGTGTCGGTGATGAGTTACAACACACCACGGATCAATGCAGCAGTTAACTTCTACATTAAGCAACTTGGAACATCGTTTGGATTTCAGAAACAGAGATTGAGGCTTGAAAGAAATTTAAAACAATTTAATTCCAAACAAACCCATGGCACGCACCTTCGTTATTCCGTAACACAAGCGCCTGATTCATGTAGTAGACTCCCAACTCGTTGTGTGCGTTGCCTTGTTTTCTCGTCAGAGCCGTCACGTAATCATCGCCACGGTCGCTGCTTTCACTCAGCGCCAGCATGTAGCACTGTATGCTGGTCTTCAGGTTGTGCTCAGTGTCGTTGCGAAAATCGACGGCCCATTCGTACTCTGTTGGAACAGGGGGACCCAAAGTGTTAAACTTCGCATTGAATTGTGAGACAGTTTTTGCTATGAATGGGGTTTTGTGCAGCACAAATTGTCCCATAATGCCCAAGGACATGGCAACTGGATTCAAACCAATGACCATCTGATCTTGAGTCACAGACCCACACCAATTGGCCACATTCCCCACAGGGTTTACAATGACATTTTTAAATCATGATTCTCAACCTTAACCATGCCAGATGCAACAAAGTGCACCAGACGTTAGTCTGTTGGTCGTTGCTGCATTGAGCCATCAACACCAAAAGGCCAATCCCCCTGCAGTCGATGACTCGATCTTGAGGTATTTTGGCCTTCAAATTGTTGACGTGATGGATCTTGCTACACTAAACAGGCTTGTCATTTTGACAAGTGTTGCACGTTGCTGCGTACAGCAGGGTTTCGATCCAAAATACCCTGGGGGTTTAGAGATCACACTGAACCAGACTGGGACACTGAGTGCAGAAAAACATGCAATACAAAATTAAGACCAACTTAACTCTTTAACAGACAAAGTCTCCAAAGTTTTCATGAGGCAAAGACAAGGTCCTCAGTATTTCACCAGCCAAGTTTGAAGTCATTTCAATTTCTAAAGGAGACTTTTTTTTTTCTTCATATTTTGCACCCGAGAGTGAAGCCAAGTGATTTAAGTTTGAAGCCTAAGACTAGACTGGTACACGTCCAACTGTTTAGAAAGACTGACCTCTTCAGTAGTCTGGTGGCAGACTATGGAGAGATGTGTAGAAATACAGACCGGTACCAGATGTTGTTTTTGACACAGTTGACTGATGCAGTAAAAGGGTGTTGGACTGGTTGTTTCATGTGCCAGTCTATTTTCTTGTATTGCATGTTTTCAGTACCTTAAGTTTTGTGACTCTCATGCACAGTATTGAGAGTCCCAAATTTTCAAAACATTGAACCAGACCTACCATTAGTGGGATGGTGTTGTTGAACAACTCTCAGGATAAATTGATCGTCCGCCGTCAAGTACTTGAAGTCTTCCCTCTGTCTGAGATACGAGGCCAGATTGTGCGTCAGTAGCGTCAGGCAGTCACCGCACACCGCTAGCTGGTCGCCGAGTAGATTGGGGGCGCTGTTTGTATCTGGTAGATTCACTACGTCCATTGACTGGCAAGCACCTAAACGATTATCGTTTTCGTCAGACAGTAAATGAGCAGTGGTACAAATGATGCAGCTAATTGTTGCCAACATTATTGAGACATCAATTCGCTTCGCATCTGCAACAAGTATGAGCAAGAACCAGTTTCACGGCACTGCTTAACCATTAGCGGAAAGGTTGTGCTACCTGGAGCAGAGAATTGTTCTCACTATGAAATAGAGATTACCTCTATTTCATGGTGGGGATAGGCAGGCATGGTGATTTCTAATTTAAGCAAACTTTCCATCTGAAAATGTGCCTTTTTTGCTGTGCTAACTGTTTATGGTCTCCGTAAAAAAGATGGAAGTTCTGTGCTGACAGCACTGGCAAAAACATGCCAAGTAACCACAGAATCCTTAAATTATAGTTGTGAAAATTGTCCTCTATTTCTCGGAGGGGATGTGCACGCATGGCGATTTTTAATTTTAGCAAACTTTCCATCTGAAAATGCGCCTTTTTTGCTGTGCTAACTGTTTATGGTCTCCGTGAAATAGATGGAGGTTATGTGCTGACAGCCCTGGCAAAAACATGCCAAATAAGCACAGAATCCTATAAATTATGGGACATACGTATGAGCAAATGCCAAAACTCCTAACTTGTCAAAACGTGAGGCGTTCTGGCAAAATGTGACAGAACTGGGCAGAGGTCAGATTAAGGGTTAGCGGGTTTAAGGAAAGAGCATAAAATTTGCCTCACAATACTGTTTGTTGCACTTCAATCGGACATTATGTTCACAAGTTATGGCTGTTTAAAGTTCACATTTATCGACATATCAAGAAAATATAATACTGAGAAAAAGGCCCGTAAAGTTTTGAGTTTTGTATTCGTGAAAATGAAAGATGGCAAAATGTTTTTCCTTAAAAAACACTTTTTTCCTCACAATTTTTAGACTTGTTCTTCAAAAATATGTGCAGTAAACAAATCAAAGATTACAAATATATATAAATCTGAAAATCAAAAACAAATCACCCCCATTCCTTTTTTCGCATTTTTCTCCACTACGGCCTGTACCCAGTTCCGTCTCATTTTGCCAGATACCTCACAAATATGCTAACCATAAGCAAGGAATGTCTGCTTTAGTAAGCAGGGATTTTTCACTAATGGTGTGGAGAGCCATGAATTTGGGCCCTGGGCTTAAGATTGGTTATAACATCGGTGCTTACTTTGACAGAGTAAGGACATGTGGGCCAAGTGGAGAGCTCGTCCATACTTCTCCGAATCACGAGCTATCTTGGCCAGCACAAGGTAGGCCTCGCACGCCTTCTTGAGCAGCAGGAAGTTCATCTCGTGCTGCCAGCTTCCCGGGTGCCAGGTCCTGGTGGCGATGGACAGATCGGTCAGTGGGAGAGGTTCTTCTTCACCTGTGGATGGCTTTGTGTCTTCTGGGAGACATGACGAAGTATCTGACGAACCAGAGCTCTCGTTGCTGTCATCTGACTGATCCCTGAGTTGGATACCTTCATGCACTGATGGGCCGCTAGTCTCCAACTTGCTTACATTTGGTTGCTTTGGTTTTGCACTGTCCCTGATCTCTAAATCCTGCCCAGAATTATCGGCCGTTCCAGGGAAGGGAGCGACCGGCATGACGCTGGATGAACTAACCACAATCTCTAAATCTGAAACCTCAGTGGCACTCTTCGTTTCACCGGAATCTCTTGACTCTGTGCTGCATGCGATCCCAACTTCCTTTACTTGATCACTGAGATTCAAATCACTCTTTGACGACTCTTTCTTCTCTGCGCCAAGTTGCTTGGCTTCCGCCCTACTGTCGCACTTCTTGTTTGTTGTGTAAGATGCCTCCTGTTCACTTTGTCGCTGGTCTTCTCCAGTACCTTCCGGTAGTTGCCTCAGCTCAGCATCAGCACGATCCGTCTTCCCCCGGCTCTCCCCCGCCACGGAGCTACTAGGGTAGCAAAGGGTCCTTACTCGAGTAGGGGATGGCAGAGGACTTGGCAGTTTGGCCGCCTGTTCCTGACTAGGTGCTTCTGTCGATTTGGGGCATTCTATGATGCTCTTCAGACCCTAGAAAGTAGGAGACAACATATTCATCTTTCTTTAAAAGGTACAGTAGATCATTTGACATTTTTGCATTTGTTTCATTTGAAGCAACAGAGGTGCTCAAAATCTAAAGGCGGGTGCTTAACAACTAACCTGATGAACTTTTAGTTTATGAATACTGTATATTCCGAGAAAACAATATTCTAGGATCTCGATTTCAATGTAAAAGTTGCCATGTCATATTTTGAATCAGCATCTGGAGCATGTTTCTCATTCAGCTGATTACGGGTGCGCAACGCTGCACTGAACCAACGAAAATAACAACCGCGGGCGCATCATGCGCTCGCCTGTACCAACTCAAGGATTCGCCCAATTATAGCCCAACTAATGGAAATTTCGAAAAATGCGTCACTTGACTCATATTTGGAAATGACCTTCTTTTATTGTTTTTTTCACAATGACAGCATGCCAGAAGGAATACTTTCACAGTGAGGTTAGTGCTATTACTATCTTTAAACCAAGTAAGATTTTTAACAATAATTTGGTCGGTTACTTTTTGGATAGCTGCAAATGATCTACTCTATTTTTTAAATGGCATGCCATCATTGAAATGGTCTTTGTCCATGTGGTAGACGAATAAAAGAAAACTATAAAAAAGAAGACATTATTGTTAAATTTTGTTTTTGCGCAGCGACTCAAATCAGTTAGTGACTTAGTCAGTCGGTTGGAAAACAATAGGCTTACCCTTCAACTCCAGCAAAAAAAGCAGAAATTCCTCCTTACCATGACGATGTACGTGAAAGCTTTCTTGGCCTTCTCCTCTTTGGAGGCGTACACAGTCTTGGCCGACCGTCTACGTCGTCTGCGCTCCTTGAAGACACCGTGTTTACCGCTCGGCAGCATCAGGCTCTGCGTGTCCATGGTGGGCACGGTCAGCGACGCCTCTCCGTCCTCTTCTTCGATGACGAATTCTTCCTCATCATCACCAGACGAGGAGTCTGCTTGCTGTGGGGTCTTCTTGGAGGGCTTCTGGGAGGCGGAGCTTGAAAAAGCAGGGGGCGGGGAGTCGGTCAGGTCGTCCTCGTTGATGAAGACGTGAGACAGGAGGTGACACGCTGAGGCTGCTACCTTTTTTTCGCAAAGAGTAAAAATTGAGAGAACGATTTTCAGGGAGTGTTTTGTAACTGAAACGTTAACCCTAACCACCCTGAATCCTTCAAAATCTTCTTTGCCGAAGTGGAGGAATTTGGAGGATTGAGGTTACGTGGCAAAAGTGCGTCACTGATTTCGTAGGATGCACTTTGTCAAGGTCTTGGGCCAAACCTTGTGTTGTTTTTGCTCAGCCATGCATACATGTAAATATAGGCCTGGATTATGCTTGAAATCCTCCGTACTGCTCCAGGGTGTCACTCAACATATTGACAATCATTGCCGCAGGATTATGCAGGATTCAGGCAGTGGTCACCCATCCACGGACCATATTCAGGAAATAATGGATGAACTTGCAGGATTGAGGCTATATGCTATTTTTCCAGGATGCCAATTGGACAATTTTGCAGGATTGAAGCTACATCCTAGCAAAAAGGCCCAGGGAGTTAGGGTTAAGGCCAGTTGATACTTGTTGAGAATGCAAATGCAAATGCCACAGAAAGTATCCACGTTTCAAATTTGGTAAAATTGAACACTGTCCAATTCTGGCCAGTTTTGCCGCCGTCCTTTACTCGAAGTATGAACCGGCCTTCAATAGGTTCTTTTAGGGTTGAAACTCAGTTTCCAAATTCTAAAGACTTGTCCAGGGTAACAGGACTTGTCTCAGGGTCATGGGCAGCTTACCTCCGGATGGCTCCCCTCCCTGCCTTCCAGCAACTGCAAACAATTCTTCAGCAGCTTGTAGATGGTGCTTTTATCCCTGAATCCAAAACAGTATTACAAAGAAGTGAAAAACAAACACCAACTGGTGGTGCTGACGTAGTGTGATATAAACTTGAGAAACAGCAGTTTGGAGATGATTCAACTAAAATGAAAAAGGTGTCTTGTTTTCAGGCGTGCAGCATTGTTAATGTTGTACAGTTGCAAGCTTCACGACTTGGGTATGAGACCTAGCCACACAGCATTTATGGTTTCTGACTAGCGTCCATAGAATACTGACATTTTGGGTGCACACCAACCTAGAGCTGGATGGCTCAGTTGGTAGAACTCTGGCTGAACTCTTTACGAATTGATGGAACGCGTCCAAAATTGATGCATTGCCACACTTACTTCTTGTTTGGCCCGGACATGGACAGATTCCTTGCCACTCTGTACAGCAGTATGGCAACCGGTGAAATGAAGGGATTTTCCCAGGGCCTGTTGGGATACTCGTTGCACAGACTTGTCAGGTCGTAGAGTTTCACTACGTCTTCATCTTCACCTATGTTGAAAATGGAAATTAATATGATGATTATGAATCCATCAGTCCACTGCACCGCCCAAAACCGCCCTTCCTATATGCTGAGAAAGTGTAACGTCATCTCCGCCCGAGTAATGTTGTACATCGGGTCAGGTTGACCAGGCCACCCCAACCCAAAGCAATAGAAATATAAACCGAATCCGAACTGAAACCGATCTGAACTCCCCAAATCCAACCCGACCCAACAAAAATTCAAGCAAAACTGACCTGAACCAACCCGAAACCGAACTGACCCAAACAAAAGCAAAAATCTCGCTTTGGTAACTGTGTCCGCTTTTTGTGCCTGAACTTACCCGCGTCGCGTGAAAATCGTCGTCTCTTAGTAACAGAATCATATCGTACGGTACAGTGAAGACTCATAACAAGACCTACTGGTGAGCCTACACGTTACAGACTGTGCATGATAGACCGCAAACCACATACACATTTGTGTAGTGGGTTGAGGTTGGTCAAACTGGGCACAGTACATGTAACTCCGCAATACCATTACATCGCATGATTTTCTGAACTGTTTTGTTTTATTTTGGTATATTTTGGTTTATTTGGCGTTTCTCACAAGATTGCTTAACCAACTCGACCCGATCCGACCCAACCCGACCCGACCAGAAAATCGCAAACGCAAAAACATTCTAAAATACTAATCCCCCAAATCCATCCATTTTGCAAAATTACAGCAAAAGCAAATGTTGTATATTCCCTTTAAGCTACTGGAGATAAGTTTGCGTTCAGCCTACCTTTGAATAGCCAGTACGTGTGTCCTTCTTTAGTGCAGTGGCTTTTCAGGAAAGACAAGACGTTCTGTGCGACATCCTTCACTACCTAAAATGTTGACACCAAAAAGACTTCTGATATCAATTTCAGATATTCTCTTAAAAAAAACACAAAAGGCGATATTTATAAAAAGTAAAATGTTATATACTTGCGTGTGATGACAGTATACATTCAGCATATTATACCTTTAACTGGACTTGGATCACGTTAAGAATGTATTAAGCCTCCCCCTCTGGATGGCAATTTCAACAAGGCCAGCCCAGCAGTCAAAATAAATCAAGTGACTGTTTTTAATAGTTGAGTGTTCCCTGCCTTCATAAAGTGGAATTGAGTGCTTAGGGTGCTTTGGAGGAATGCTTAGGCTTCATTACCAGAAAATAAAATTAGAAAAAAAGAGAGTTTTAATTCCAATACAGTTCAAAGAGAGAGAATGTAAAAATAGTGAATTACATATTTTTTTTTCCTAGAAAAAAGTAGAAATTTAACAAAGAGGTCTATTTTTCAGGGGTGAAACTTAATTGTTTTCTCAGAGTAGTTCTGTTCAACAAGACTTTTTTGGGGAAGGGGGAGGGGGGTTTAAAGACTTCCAGTACTGAAAGTGATGAAATGTTGACTAACCTGGGGAGCAAAGTTAGCATCTTCTAGGTTGGGTATCTCTTCGGTCTTGAGCAGTTCGTACTTCTGGACGATGCCGTTGAGATGATAGCACATGGCTAGCTCTGGTACATTGGACATAAGGTTATCCAGCCAATAGTCTAGGCCAGTCAGGACATTGATGGGGCTGCTCATGTCCCTGCAAAGAGCAATGTGCAAGTTGACGTCAAAAACCTGCGAGATTTGATGAGAACACAGCACATCCGGGCACCATGTATGGATCTACAACGTGTGTAGCGTCCTACTTTTTGCATTTATTTTGTGTCCTGACTGGACCCATCCAATCCAGGGCAATAAATGGGTTTTTTGAAAGAAAAGAAAGCACTACAATTTACAACTTGCTGAAAAATGATGCAAATTTGATTTGATTTGATGCTGCAAATTTGATGACGAAAAATTTCCCTGATGTCACAAATTTGCATACATGTTTGCTTTCGTGCCGAGTATGAACCGACCTTAATTAAGGTTAATATCTCATGGACAGATATAGCTAGCTAATGACAACTCACTTTAGTCTCAGGCTGACAGCGGGGTGTATGCCTTCTCCAAAGATAGGCAGGTCAGTGCCAATCAGCATGCGGATATCTTCAAACTGCCACAGGGCCTGACGGGCAAATTCACTGGGCTTGGTCTGCAAACAAAATATTGCCTAGTCTCTCAAAACAAACTGCAAATGACACAATTTCATAGCAATAGTACCCATCAACAATATGTACTATCATCAGATACCTGGTGCTGTTATGAGATACCCTGTAAACCCGTAAGACCCTCGGGTGACTATGTCTTTATGTACTTGGTCTATTATTCAAACAGTAGCTACAGACATATAATTATTATAAATTCCTGATTTAGTTGGGACGTAACAACTTCAACAATAAACCGTTACTGAGGCTGCACCATGCTTGTGTACATCTTGCATACATTCTTGAATTTGAGACGCGAATGCATTTTGATACATGTGAACATGCCATTGGTCAAATGAGCACCGAATACACACATGAGCAAGAGCGAGGCACCAATTCTGTAAAGGCTTGTAATAGCCGTGGCTGGTCCATACCTTGGGTAGTAGGTCTGGTATCTGGATCAGAGCAGACTGGTTCGGTGGTAAGTGCTGCTCCTCAAAGTCGTAGGTCTGCTGGGGAACTGACTCATCTGATGAATTACCAATACTGTCCAATAGAAGACAGAATGTAACAATGTCTCATGTTCACATGGTATTAATTACTGTGTCCATAACATACATAATGTACAATTTCTTTGCAATAACCAGTAGCTTTATCATAAACCACACCACACATGCAAGCTGCTAGCTCTAATGAGCCTACCACTCAACCCAGTCCCGAAAACAGCACCCACATTTGGAGCCCAATACGAAAAAAAGTTAGTATGTTGATTGATTCATTTATTTAATTCTTATTTTAACTGGATAGTCCATTCAATGGGATCTGCTGGTCTCCCATGGGGCCCAGTAAAGAGTTTCAGTTGTGGGAGGAAAACCCCAGAAGAATATTCTGAGGAAAACCCACGGAATCAAGTGGGGACTGAAAGCCCAATCCACATATTGGTCCAGGCAGGAATCAAACCCGGGTGACAACGATGGAAGGCGTCTATCATTTACAATAGCTAGATTTTCTAACATCTACATTTTCAAGAAGCCGATGCTCGTGTTTTTACCTGTAGTACAGGAACTTGGACAACAGATTCCAGTTTTGAAGAAGCTCGTTGGTTTTGCGTTTCATGGTCAGACTCTTCCCCTCGGACAACACCGCCTGTATGAGGAAGGTCTTCATCCATTCTCTTTCTCCCTGATAAACAAAAGAAAGACACCAGGCCTAATTGCAAGTAGAAAAATATTGCTTGGCAGATTAATGTGTTACACAAAAGTCCGCTGGGAACCAGTCACAAACAATACAAATCATACAAGTTTTTGGCCGGTGACCTGTTCTTGTTAAGCAAATATTTCCAGTGTTTAGCACATTTATGTGCTTAGCAGCTCATGACTAATGATGTTTGATTACAGTTGTAATAAAGCCCCGCTAAATCCATCTTCATCCAACAAAGTGCAATTTCTCTGGGATTGGGCGGATGATCTTGCATTCTAGCTGAAGGATTCTGCTGGATTCAGCAGTTATCACTCACTGCTTTCACCCTGGATCATATTAAAGTTTGCAGATTGTCTACAGAAAACCCTGAAGGTAGTTAGACCCTTTTTAAACAGGCAGTACACAGTTGCGCCGAATGAAGTATCTCAATTACGTATATGGGAAGTTCGACGTTTGAAACAGTTAGGAGTGGCTGCATATTTGGTTTGGCATGGCACAGCTCTGGCAACCATTGTTAAACAGTTGTTAAATCCCAGCCACACATTTACGGTTAGGAGCTACGAATATCTACGGTTTACCAGGAGTCAAGCGATCACGATGAACCGTCGAGAATCGTAACTAGTGAAATCGACTTTCTAAGAATGCACTACGGTTTCAGGACGGATAGCCACGACTGTCCTACGGTTTCTCTACGAATACACCACGGTTTGTCAAGAATATGGACGGATTGGTGAAGAATATCGACGGTATTACTAAGAATGATGGCGTTAACGTCACGGTTGTCTGCGAGTGGGACACGGATGACCAAGGTTCTCCTACAAATAGTCAAGAATACAACCTTAGCAGAACCCTAGCACATCCCGGCATATCCGGACATTTGTAGAGAATTCCTAGAGATTTCTACCACGAATGAGCTACGAATCTCCAAGAATATGTACGAATAGCCACGAATCAGTACGGTTGTCCTACGGATGTCCAAAGGTTGTACTACGGATTGATTTTCTTGACGTTTCACCACGAAAGTTTTAAACAGTTTAAAACTTCCGTAGCCCCTCCACAAATACGCAAGGAAGATGACGGATAACCAAAGATGTACTAAGGATGAATACAGTACTCCCATGGTTTATTACGAATTTCAAACCGTGGAGATCCGTAGCTCCAAACTGTAAATGTGTGACTGGGGCTTTACAAAGTAGGGTTTTACGTTTTATGTTGCGCATTTATGTTTGCACATTTATTATCTAATGAAAAAAAAAATATGATTTTGTTTTTAACTTGCTGACCTGCGATGCACTTCTGAGGTGCTTGTACAAATCCAGCTCATCCAGCAGTAGGGTCTTGCCCACGCGGTGCACGGCCATGCTGACCTGGGTCTTACTGAATGGTATCTTCAGCAGTTTCTTGATGTTCTGTTTGAAAAGGGGTCATACATGAACTAGCAATTAAAATAATGATAATAAGATGAAGGTTTACGGTAACACCATGTGACAAATCTCTTTTGTGAGTTTGCGAGATTCTGAAAAGAACCAGGGGAAACTCAACGTTTTGGACAATACTGTCTGAAACGTTGAGTTTTCTTCATTTTTTTTTAAAACCCCACAAACTCACAAAGAAGATCTGTCACATGGTGATACCGTAAACCTTCATCTTTTGCTATCTTCACCATGAAAACCTTCAAATCTTATTCAAAATAATGATAAGAACCACCTTGGTTATTTTTATAATGCTAAATTTCACTCCTTCTCATCGTATTATAGGTCAGCCACATGTCCTACCTAGAGTCTATTAAAAGTACATGGGATTATTTACTTTTTGTGCATGTTTTTCGTTTGAAGCGTCAAAATTGCTCAAAATCATTTATAAGTATGATGCCTATAACAACTAACTCTTGATTTTTCAGCTCACCGGATACTATACATTTCGAGAAAACATAAATGCACAATCTTGGGGTATCATAAACTGGATTTCGTTGCTGATGTATGTAAATTAAACTGTGCCAACACACACAATTTTTTTAAACTGCCTTCAATGAGTGTTTTCTTGCAAATGATACCATTTCAGGTGGAATACTTTCACAGGGTATTTGGTTCTGATCCTATCTTCACTTTGAGCAAGGATTTTCTCATTAAATCGATAGGTACATGTACATTCTCGGTTTATTGCAAATGCCTAGGCTATACGTCCTTAAACCCTAGCCCACCTCAATCCAGGCTCCAAAATCCTCCTGGTGGATTTGGAGGGGTTTGGAGGATTTTGGAAGATTGAGGATGAAAGCTGTTTGAGAAACATGAGGATTTTAGAGGATTGAGGATGAATAGTGTTTGAAGAGGAGAATGATTTTGGAGGATTCAGGATGAATGCATTTTGAGAGGCAAGACGGTCTGACGATTTTGAAGAATTGAGGCGCTGGGTACTTGACTTGAACATAAGTGCAAAAGTTTTGAGAATGTTGGAGGATTGATGATGGTTCCTAGCTAAAAGGGCCTGGGAGTAGCGTTAAGAGTCATTTTGCCTAAAGCATCATACCAAGTTTAGCCCTGTTCCATGAATTTCCTTTCAGACCGTTTGTCACACATTTAAATGGCTCAATCAGCCTAAATTGAAATTGAAAATATTTTTTTTTCTGAAAGTTCTCACCTCAGCTGCCGAGATGACGTCCACTTCACCAACAGTATCCGGCAATGTTTCAGCCATGGCAAAGCTAGAATTAAAATCAAACAAATTTTGCTTATAAAAAAAAATTAGAAATTTGTATGAAATACATAAATGTTTTATAGTCCTAATCAAATCAATCGTTAAAAGTGAATACAAGTCAGTCAAATGTACTAGTCATTTAGTCTCAAGTCCAGAGACAAGTTATCCAGATGAACTATGACAAAGGTATTCCGTCGTCAACGTTCATCCTGTGTAACCTGTGACCTAACTTGGGATTTGACTTGTGACGGATTTGCAAGGAACTGGTTTGCAACTTACTATTTATAACAAGCTTTCAGACATTCTTTCTCAAGTGAGACAAGCCTGCAATTCAATGTGGTATAAATGGGTTTATAACACGCCTCTTGCTGGTTCTTTATCCTGGTTGGCTGAAACACGGTTACGTGGGGTACACTATAGGCTTGTGCATGAAATTTGCGTCAGCGTGAACTAGAGAAGTGTCGACATCAAGACATCATGGCGCGTAATCTCCAGAGTACAGTGCCCGATCGGGCACTATACTAAAAATGTTTGACTGGTTACAGTGCCCTCTCAAAAACTCAAACTCAAAAACTGAATCTAGGGAAACTAAAAGCGTTCTGAGGTAACTGTTGAATTCTAAACAGTCAATTATAAAACTCTGAAAAGTTTCTTTTCTTTTTATTTTGGATAGAAGTGTGTTATAAAACACATATGGCCTGGCATAATTCGGTCCCTAGTGCACATCTATGCCCCCCTCAGGCCTGTGAGTGACCAAAAGAGGGTCCTTCTGGTCACTCACAGTCCCTCAGGGCGCATAGAGGTGCCCTAGTGACCTCATTGCCAGTCTATACTGGTATGTGTATAATATTCCATTTATGAACGGTAAATGGCACTATATGAGCAGTAGATGGTCCATGCTTGGCCACATTCTACGGATGGCATCTGATGCACCAGCCCAGAGAGCATTAGAGTTTGCCGTAGTGGGAAGCACCAGATACCAAGCACGCCAAGGCCGCCATTGATCCAATCTCCTCGAACTCCTTTGCATGCAGTAAAAGCAGTAAAAGCAGCAGGATTAGGTCCACTCAAGACCATACGACAGCTGGACAACTTCAGGCTCATGGCAGGGGACAGGGCCCGATGGCAACATTTATTAAAGAACTGATTGCCATCACAGGTTGTGCTAACTACTGTGGCAGCAGAACCAATTTACATACATATATATACATATATACGGAAATGTTCATCAAAAGGATTAGATGGAGATCATTCTTCTTTCTGAATCCGGAGCTGAACAAAGACGTAACGCGCGTAAGGCGTGCGCGTGCTTGAATCGAAATAAGGTAAGATGCTACTTGTATTCTATACTTTGTCATTCTGCTGATGAGTGCCTTATGGAACGAAACAGTCTGTCCAGAAGAGAAATATGCCAAAGTTTGATTAGCTCATATTCTGAATTTATTGCATGGTTATAGCTCTACAGAGATGTATCGAGCACTGTGAATTGTGATAGAAGACAATTTTATTGGATGTATGTATGTATGTTGAGGCAAATGGCACTCAATGCTTCACTTCGGGTGCCATTTGTACACTACTTGGGCATTAAAAAAGCTCAATGACTACATCAAAGCTGACAACAATTGTATAGTGTCACCATCGAGTACTTGTGCCAAAGAAACCATAGCACTACCCTTCAAAACAGGACAGACGCAGATACAACGTTACCTTGAAAACTGTGTGCATTCACCAGTCACCCAGGTGTTGGACAGCTTAGCGTCACTCCGAAGCCAGTTGTCCGGCGGTCTGTGTAGGTCGGTGTTTTGATCCAATCTTGAGAACTGGTAGATGGGAAGTCTCCGAGCTGACTTGACCATGACCTTGGACTTTACGTCTACTGCCTGAGACTGGGAGTGCTCCTGTGTAATAAAGAAGGAATATGATGTTCAGGGGTAACCCTGCAAGGCGCCATCGTTTTATTTTAGTTGTAATCCACCACGGTACTGAACTTTTCAGTATGAAGATGCATGGGTGTAATGTTTGAACGAAATCCCTTCAGTAGGCATTTTGGTGAAAATAATCCCTTCTCAAAGTGTGTAAATGGATCAATTTAGGCCCTCTGTGCCCAAGAAAAAAATATGTTACCCAAATCCATACTTTTTGCACTGCTCAAAGCCCCTGAAAAATTCTAAAGATGGGTCTAAGACTGGGTCTCACACTCAGTTGCTATACTTCACAAGCTGTGGTTAGAGCTGGACAATACAACTTCCTATGGGAGTTGGCCTGGGTCTGGTCTTTGCCTCCGAAAATATGGGTCAAAATTTCAACCAGGGTTAAAGGGCTGACTCAAGATGTTTTTTAGTTATGTCTTAATAGGGAACTGCTGGAGTATGAAATGTTTTGATGGATAAATGATGGAGTAATTAAAACTATTTAAAAATGCACTACTGTTACACACAACAGAGTTAAAGAAAAATACTTATTAGGTTGTAAATTTTGGAATGATAAAACACCTTAAGCAGTTCAGTACGTTAAGGACTAAATCGAAAGAGGGGTCCCTACCTCAACAATCGCCACGTAAATATGTACAAACCTTCCCTGGCTCCACATTTCTGGGGAAAGAATGTTGTAACCTGACGCCACTGTTTTCTTCACATATCATCTCAATAAAGGTCAGTCATTGCAAAAAAGTTGAAAAGACATGAATCTGGGATGAAGAAACTTTTCTAATTTTGTTAGGAAATACTTCTTGACTCTCCATAGACTTTGTACGTCTGGATGCTACTGGAGTAGCTGAAGTGGCATCTGGATGCTACATTCTTTCCCAGTTTGGCTGAGATATGCTTAGGCATGGAGTGCATATTGTGCATTCATCACCACGTATTAACCCTAACCCTGCTGAATCCAACAGGATCCAACAACATGTATGTCATAGGGCATATACCCGATGGAGCCTGTTGGATTGAGCAGTAAGGCCAAAAAATAGAATAGTTCTGCTTCCGGTTACCCGACCGACCCTATTTTTAGGCTGCGACCCTAAAAATTTTATCGGCAATTCCAAAAAAAAAAAAAAAATTGAATAAATACAAATAAAATCTGTCTTTTCTGTCTTCACAAAATACCTCTCAACAACCCTTTTGCATCCAAAAATGCTTGTATTTATTTGTTTTCTTACTTACAAATTCGCTTTTTTTCAAAAGAAACCTCCGTTATTACAAATTCGCTTCGCGATATAACTACTTCACAATTCGATGTCACGCACGGTGACTATAATCACGTGGCGACGACTGGTTCCCGCCGCGCCGCGCAGGGGCCAGACATAATGAAAATGCGGTAACCAGTCCATAGCTAGCTATGTGACCGATAGCGCGCTATCAGTACAGCGCAGGCCACAGTCAACTGGTCGGATTCGACATCGTAAAAATGCCAAGAAAACACCGATGGAGAAAGAACGTTTTTGCAAGTTAATTTACAGAATTGATCTAGCTTGTCTGTATATGTATTTTCTGTGTTCAAGAGTTCATTTTGAGATCGCTCTACTCGTATTTTGAGTGATACATGCCGCGTGTTTCCCGAAATTGTTGACGGTAAAAACAGGTCTGTCGGCCCATGGTGGGCCGCTCGCCACACACGCACGCATCACACACCTCGGAGTTTTGGCCAGCTCCCCGCGTCTTGACTAGCGTTGTGCATATGGTGCGAACGGCCTGAATTTTCCATTATTTTTTGAAATTATCGAACGTAAATATATTGACAATAATTAAAGGTAGGTTTTACTCACTTTTTGTTGCCATTTCGTGTATAGCTTTCGTAGTGCAATAGAAATAGTTCAGGCTAAAACTTCGCATATAATTGAATACCCCATTCAAGCTGCATAAAAAAAATTGGCAAAAAAAAAAAATTTCCGACCGACTGACCCTATTTTGGAAAGGCATGTAATCGGAAGCAGAACTATTTTTTTTGTTGGCCTAAACCTCTTGTGTACATTCTTGATGCAAAATGTTGGATTCAGCAGGTAAATGAACCACATTATAATGCCATGTTGGACTCTGTTGGATTCAGCAGCAGCAGACAACTGAAAATAAGGCACAGTGGATTGAGCAGGAAACTCCGGTTTGACTCTGTTGGAGTGTTGGATTTAGCAGGGTAGTCCTGAGGAACTAGGGTTAAAGTGGCCCACAATGGTTTCTTAACATTTTGAGTTAATATTATCAGTCACCTGTGTCATTGGACTGGGCACAATGATGCAAGTGTAAATTATGCAATTATGCATCAACTTGTAGGCATGCATATTGACAGTTTGCAAATAAAAATTTGAATTCAAGAACTGACATGACAGAAATTATTTATTATGACAATGTCATTTGTTTTTGCTGGATCAAAATAACTTGCAAAATAAAACGTATGTACGTATCTGCCTAACCCCAAAAAACGCCTCTAAACCTGTTTTCCAGAGAGGGGGAAACCTTGTGTGGAACTGGCTTAGTCCACAGATGGTTCACATCGTGTGTGGACCTCACGTGACCTGTGTTGTTTTCAGGTCCACACAAAGTGACAAACAAGATAAAGATGGCAAGGTTGGCACAAAATACGTACCCATGTCTTGTCTCTTTCTTCCACATCAACGTTCCTTTCCGTGCCAGCCATGTTACACTGCAATTTTCAACCTATTCTCATTGGTAACAATCGATAAATTCATCGTTGCCTTTCTGTTTCATCACTTTTCCATCCCCCAAACCTGACGTTCATGAAAGTTCCAGAAATGTCACTGTCAAAAAAAGATCACAAAATCGTGCTGAAGGTTCTGGACTTGACCATTATACAACAGGTATTTTGTTTTGTTCAGTTTACGCCACTGGTAAATATTGACGCTAATTTTATTTGTTGTATGGGAGCCATTCACAAAAAAAGTATTACAACTGACTACTTTTAACGCAAGAATAATCATATTATTTCTATACATAGATTAAAATACACAGCTACTCACATCTGAGGATACTAAAAGAAAGATTGGAAAATTTCTTCCCTCCGTCTTTAATCGTACAATCCAAGGTAGAATTCATTTCAAGATGGCGGCGTCCATGGGGCTGCGAAGTGTGAGTGGGCCGGACTGGAGATTGCAGAAAACATGGCAAATCTTTCTGCTTTGCAGCCTCATTTTGGCAGCAATTCGATATGTACATGGTAATGTTGCAGGAATCCTTACTGTCAACCTGTAATGATTTTGATCGTTACACTAGAGATACGTTGTCTGATGATGGAATGATATATGTGACGCGTCGACTAATGTACAAATGTACATATATGTACACGTAGCACAGCTCTGCACTCGTTACGTACAGAGGACAACTGTATTATTCATTTGGTTCTTTATTATACAGCTCTATGATCGGAATATATGCTATTGTTTTTAAAGTAGGCTTATCATAATATAGTCAAAGAAGGTGTTACTTTTTTCTAACTGTAGCATACATGTACAGCAAAAGCAAACTTTTTTTTTGTATAAACACTGATAAAGGGCCAACTTTTTCTACTACATTTGTTTATTTTGCTGACTGCTGACTAATTTTAATTTTATTGTTCCTGGAGAGAGACAAAGGAGAATAGAATTTCTTGCTCTTTAATTAATGGATGATTTTTAAAAAAGCTTTTGTTAGTGTTAATTGATACTATCAGCTTTCATTGTTCATTATCTGCAATGCATTTCATTATATTTAATTTCTTATTTCCTATGTACAGGTCATGGTGTCCATGAAAACCTCTTCTTCAGTGTCCTTAGCCCAGAAGATCTCGCCTTTATTTATAAAATCAGACCAGCCAAAAATTTTGGAGCAGCTTTCGTAAGTCAAGCAAATAATAAGTAAACATTCATATTTACTGAAAACAATGTTGGTCACCTGCAGCTGAACACAAACACCAACTTAGACTTTAGGCTATATTATTTGTGAGGTGTTCTGGCAAAATGCGACGGAACTTATTGGGCACAGGCCGTAGTGGAGAAAATGCAAAAAGCTGAATGGGGTTGATTTTTTGTTTGATTTTCAGATTTATTGATATTTGTAGTCTTTGGTATGTTTGCTACACATCTTTTAAAGAAATAATTAAAAAAATCGTGGCATAAAAGATTTTCCAGAAAAAAAAAAAATTGCATCTTTCATTTTCATGACTATAAAAACTCACAATTTTGAAAGCCATTTTCTCAGTCTTTTACTTTTTTGACATGATGATAGATGCAAACTTTTAACAGCCACAACTTGCCAACGGAATGTCCAATTGGAGTGTAACAAACAGTATTGTAAGGATAATTTCATCTTCTATCCTAATACCTACAAACCTTCATTTTGATTTTTGCCCAGTTCAGTCTTATTTTGCGAGAACGCCTCACGTTTTCGTACTATTTAAAACTGATTCAGCGGATCTGAGATCAAATCGCACTCAAAATTTACAAACACTCATATTTTCTTGTGAAAATAATGTTATTTATTTCACTCAAGTTTTTGTGTTGTTTTGCAGGCACAACATTTCCACAGAATATGTCTTATTCCAACGGAGCCAGAAGATGCTTGTGGAGAATTGGCGAATGCACCTGTAATATCGGGGGAAGTTGCTCTTATTAAAAGAGGGTGAGCTCTCCTTTCTAGTCTTTTTGTTTTCAGTATAAATCACATGCTAAATTCTCAATGCACAAATCAACCTTATAGATTTGTTTTAGTGATTTAGCCATAACCCCCAACAGGCTTTCTTTAGGTACCCTGGCAAATGCAACAAAATACAACTTGGCTGAAATAAGAACCCTGTTAAATGCAACCAAATGCAACAGTGGATACTCCTGTATTGCCATGGCACTATGGGCAGTTACCCTGCTAAATGCAACAGAATGCAACAGAGCACAGGGATTTGAGTTGTGTGCTAAATGTAGCAGTATGCAACAACTTTTTACCTTTGTTGCTTTTTGTTGCATCTAGCAGGGTTAGGGATAAGAAGGCCTTTTTATGCTATCATCTTGACTACCAGTGTTGAAATCAACACAGGCCCACTTTGAGTGAAACCAGGTTGGATTAAAGATATACTGAATCATGTTACTGAATCATGTTTTGAATTGTTTTGAATTGCAGCTATACGCGACGTCGCGCACTGATCCGACGAATCATAGCAACCGCGCGCGCGTGTGCGTCGTGCCAATGCTTGCGCGCGCTTCGCCGAATAACAAAACGAACTACTAATTTAAATTTTCCTACGGTGTGTCTTAAGACGCACTGTTGGAAAGGCCTTCTTTCGTTGATTACTTCAAAATGACAGCTTCCCAAAAAGAATAATTTCACAGGGGGTTTAGTTCCCTTACTATCTTTCAACCAAGTTTGTTTTTCAACAATAATTATGCCAGTTACTTTTCGGATGGCTGCAAATGATGGACTACAGCTTTAAAGCACGGGTATGTAAGGCATACCGTTCACACTTACACTGGTGTGTACACGGCTCAGCTGTAGAGTTTGTATTTTTGCCCTGGTAGCGCAGCCATACATGTACCCTGGTAGCGAACTAGCGATCAGGGTTGCATTTTACCTGTGTAAAAAGCCACACCTGTTTAGGAGCTGCGTTGGATTAACTGCCAGTATGAAAGGTCTGCCTAAACTCTGGGGCCGTCCAAAAAAGTACATCTGCACGAAGGGGGTGGTTGGGGGGTGGGTGGAGGGGTGTTTTCATTGTGTACGTGTACAGCATGCGTACAGGGGGAGGGGTCCATACATACGCAGTGCGATAATTTGCTTTTAATAACTAGTCATGAAATCAATGTAATTTCTCATATTGAATACCTACCAGGACCAGCTTTTATGCATTGAAAATTGTTATAACACTGTACCCTCACCCTGACCATTTATAATTATCTTCCCAGTGCTACTGCCAGGGGTTTCTGGCAACATTTTGTCATATTTTTCAGACTTTGGATCGACCTGCGAAACTTAATTCTACAGTTCTCAGGTTAACTATGACATTCAATGATGCTAGAATATGATAATCTGAAAAGTCTAAAAGAAATATGGAATGCGTATGTGTAGGGGGGGGGGGGGGGAGGTTGGTTGGTTGGTTGGTTGGTTGGAACCACTGCATATGCCTTGTGTACAGGGGGGGGGGGGGGAGGGGTCTAAAAAGTTTGGCATACGGTCCCATATGGAGATTTTGTATAATGAGGCTCATCTCTGAAATCTTCCTCTTAATGTGAGTTTCAACTTTTTTATTTCATAATCATAGTGGTTGCTCCTTCATGTCCAAAGCCATCACAGCAGAGAGGGCAGGAGCGGCCGCCGTCATTATTTACGACAACAATGACAGGAATTTTGACAGCATTATTGACATGATTGATGACAACACGGACAGAAGTACCTCCATTCCAGTCGCATTCCTCCTTGGACGGGACGGGTAAGTTATGATCTACGACAAATGTGACTGTCAGAAATTTCACTTTTTAAGGTCATCGCAAAAAAAGACAGCTTTATAAACCCATTAGTCTCTGTACCGACCCAAAATGGCCTGACTGTTACTCCCTGTACTGACCCCAAACCGCCCTGCCTGTTACTCCCTGTGCCAACCCAAACCGCCCTGCCTGTTACTCCCTGTGCCACCCCAAACTGCTCTGTCTTCTCCCTGTGCCGACCCAAACCACCCTGCCTGTTACTCCCTGTACTGACCCAAACCGCCCTGCCTGTTACTCCCTGTACCGACCCAAACCGCCCTGCCTGTTACTCCCTGTACTGACCCAAACCACCCTGCCTGTTACTCCCTGTACTGACCCAAAACGCCCTGCCTGTTACTCCCTATGCCGACCCAAAGCCCCCTGCCTGTTACTCCCTGCCATGCCTGAGCACTTCATCAGGTTGCAGAGTCATCGGATAATAAACACAGTGTAATAAAATGTTCATGTAGTACAGTTGCTTATGGGTTAATATGATGCCAAACTCTATGCAAATTATTTTTTATCAAGGTCAATTCTTAACTTCCTCTTATAAATGGGATTTTAAAGTTGACGTGAAATTCACTATTTTTGAAATTAAATTGTCACTCAGTCCTTCAGTGGTATATATATGTGTCTGTCCAGTAGAAGTCATGTTAAATTGTGAAAAGTTAAGTTCACTTAATTTTTGGAATTTAGCAAAAATATGTGCCAAGTTACAAATTATATGACATGTGTTCCCAAAACAGCTAAAAATAACTTTTAAAAGAAATCCAAGATCTTTTCACTTTAAAAAATTACATAATCTTTTGTGTTTTCATCTTTTTACAGTTACATGATCAAGAACTCGCTTCACCAACAGGGCCTGCCGTCTGCTGTCATTTCGATTCCAGTCAACATTACCGGCGTCTCACTAGGCCATGTCAGGCGATCTCCTTGGTCCCTATGGTAGGCGGAGCTCTACATGAAATGAAACCTTTAGCCTTTTTCTAACAGCTGCCCGAAAGCTTTTTTTTTGCGTATCTTGACAATCTTTCTTGCAAAATTTGTTGTCCCAGTACTAATGCACATCTTAACCAGTTTGCGCTGGAGGCCGTGTATACACACAAAAGTTTTGCGGTCTTCAGAACGGATGACAGATTAACACGCAGGGAGCTAGGCCGGAAATATCTGTCAGCGACACGCTCGCAGCGAGCGAGGCCGGAAATATGCGTGTGCTGCCCGAGGGTGATGGCTTGAGGTCGAGTGAAAAAAAATCCCGCGCCTCGTTCAGTTCTTGTCAAAATAATCCTGGCGTGAACTGGTTAAATCAAAATAAAATCAGGGATTTCCTTGCCGTAAATCCGACAAAATCCAACAAACCTTGGTAGGTTTACCAACCGTGACCTTACGCATAAAGTTGATTTTAAAATACGACCTACATTGTACATGATGTAACTGACTAGTTTCAACATTTTCATTGGAGTTTTCTACTCTTTCAAATAAATACGTACTCTTCTCAGTCTTCTGGTATAGTTTCTTTTCCAAAGGTTTGGAATCATAGTAATATTTTCAAAATAGAATGGGTGAAAGCCTTTAAAATCTCAGGAAGTGAAAAAAATGAGAATTATAGAAACAATATATGCTAAACTGTTTCACCGATATACACTTGTGTATTTCAGTAACCAGTGTAGCCTTCCAAGCCTGATGTTGTAAGCATTTATCTTTTAAAATTTGTTGTTGATGTGTTTTGCATTTCATAGAAAAAAATCTTTTATTTTATTTTTGGGGTGTCATGTTGGATACTTAGTGGTTAAATTTTTTTTTAAATGTGTCTTTCAAAATGTTTTTAACATAAACAATTATTGTCCAATGCGAGAATGTACTTAAATTCCTGCAGTTAAAAGCCAGCACTCTGAACTTCTCAGTTTCAAGGTATTTCTGTGCATTCCAGTGCCTTGAAGTGATCTCTTCCATATTTTTGCGAGGTTTTAATACTTTGAAATAACTAATAACATTTGAAATATTTTGAGTTAGAGACACTTTTACAGGATATCTCAAACTTGAAGTTGCTCTATCCATGCACTTCAAGGCATACAATTTTTTTTTCTTGTCATGAATTTTCATCTTGTATATGTCATATTTATATTTGTTTCAAGTACTTTGGAAGAAGCTACTTTATTTTAATTTGAAAGTTTTCAACCCTCTAAAAAGATGCTTTTAGTTTGGGTTGCTGTTGCAACCGCGATGTACAAAGAATACACTTTCATTATATGGAGGGCAGAAAATTAAGTCAAAATTTGCAAAGTAAACATTCCATGACTAAACTTGGACGGATTGTATTGTTCAGTGTCTCATGCAAACTTTTGTATTGCTAGAAAATTAGCAACTTATAAACAATTTTTTTTTCTTGCTGGGGGGGGGGGGGGGGTTAGGCTCACTTCTACTTTTACAGGAAATTATACTGTCCTGAAGTAGTTCATACTCAAATATACTGAAGAAAGTGAAACATGACATTGTAAATATTACTTTGAATTGAAAACAAGGTTTTTGAAATTGTTTTTTTCACCAACTATGCTGATTACGTGATGTGTGCCTATGAAATGGAAAGCTTCGTATTTTTTTGCTTACATTTTAATTTCATTTGTTAAGACGTGTTTCATTCAAAATATATTTGTTAGAACTTATATTGTGGATTTACGTATTATGCAATTAGCATATCTGTAATACATTCCTGATTTTACAATTTATATTTGGTATAAACTTCAAGTTCTTTGTGCAACAGTTTTAATTTTTTTAAAATTATTTCCTTATAAAGACAAGATAAGTTTGCGGTAGCACAATGTGAAAAGAACCGGAGGGACTCAATTATATTTCGAACAGTATGCTCTGCCCGTCGTCAGGAGAATCGAGATTATAAATATTAGTTTGAATTGAAAAAAAAGTTTTTGTAATTGTTTTCACCAACTATCATTCTCCTGACGACGGGCAGAGCATATTGTTTAAAACATAATTGAGTCCCTCCGGTTCTTTTCAGAACCACACATACTCACAAAAGAGATTTATTCACATGGTGCTACCGCAAACTTATCTTGTCTTAGTATCTTTCCACCATGCAAACCTTCAAATCTCATCCTATTTCCTTATTATTTTTTACGTACTTTTCTCTTCCATTTTCTTCAAGCATTTATTTGCCTTTGTTTCTGAGAGTAATTCTCCATATTACTCCATGTATTTGTCCATAAACTTCTGGTTATCATACAGTCTGCATTTGATGCTATGTTTAGATAGTTTTGGTGTTTTTTTTTTCTGGTTTCCATGATATCAAATTCCAATTATACAAAGTATTATATTATAAACCTCTAGTTTTAAAACAATATTCCAAAGGATGTAAACAAAATTCAAATTGGTTGTTGTGACTTTATCAATTATCAACAGCCTTGTGATGATATCGAAACTTCTTTCCAGCAAATTTAGCATTATTCATCATTTTCACTTCTTTGTTTATACAATGTATATACCACTTTTCTGTTGAAGTTGATTTTCTTTGGGGTTTTGGTGTTATGGTTTTATATTTCTTCTTTTGCTTGATAATAATATGAACAACTCAACTGATAGCGAGCGTTGTCAACCTGAAAAAGCAATAATAAGAATGAAAAATAAAATTGTATTTTTGATGGTAACTTTTGAATTTGCTTCTGTGTAAAACTACTTTTTAAATGTGTTGGAACTCGGTGACTTTTGTTAAAATTACCAAATTTTGCTTTAAAAATTAGGTCGCTTGAGGGCGCACTCACCATTTTACGTGCCGTATTATTCCAGCTAGCTTCAGCGCAGGTTCGGATGCCGAAATTCCGGAAAGTTTTTCGTACATTTTTATTACTCTGTTTACCCTGTGAAATTGTTCAGTCATGTCAGTGACTATTTATATATTTAGTAGTTCTTAAACCCGTGGAAGATCGACTACGTGGAGTAGAATAACCGGTAAATACCAATACCTGCATGCAGGGTTGTGTTGTTTTTATTCACTATTTTACACGTAGGCCTACACGGCAGTGGCTAAATTGTAGTTCTTTCCTACGCTACGGTTTCCTTTCCTATCTCCGGGGTTGCCAGAATTAGAAAGCAACCCGTGTGTTTTTTAGTTCTAGCGCTATCATTTCTTGGGTCTTCTTAAAGCAATGGGATTTGGCATGTTTGGATGGGCCCCGTGATAAGCCTTATCGCAAATAGCAAAATACACTGCTGGGCAAAGCAGAATAATTAACATGGGGGACGAGCAGCCTTCTGATTTCAGAAGCAGGGGAAAAGAACCACACATGAACACCGAGTTCGAACGCGCATGCCATGGCCTCCGTGTTATTTGTTAACCCATGCGGCGTACGCATCAACAGCGTACGTACGCGGTCAATGTCCCTGTCTTCCTGGTCGTGATGCTCTCGGATTTTGCTAATTGAGATAAGGATTTATAAACTTTTCGATATTCGCAATGCATCTTGGGATTGAATGAAAAACAAACCAGGCAATTTGTGCACAAACCTATGAGGCAAGTACCAGTTACAACTTTCATTTGTTGATTCCTCCTCATTTTATATCAAGAATTTAATGATTATTTTTTCACACATTTTTGCACTGGTAATTTGACATATTATCGTTAAAAATATCATTTTTAAAGCCTATTAATAGAATGCAGAACATTTTTGGAATTCCCTTTTTTTTCGTATTAGAGACCAGTTTCATTACTTCTGAATGAGCCTTCTCATACATGTCATAATGACCAATCAGAATCAAGATGTCAGGCTCACACCCCTTACACTGACCAATCACAAAGGGCCTGCTAGGCGAGGTGGAAGGCGAGGAAAGAACCGCTGCACCAACCTGACTCCCTGAATATTACAGAAACCAAAATCGTGCTAGCTAGCAAGAAGGGACACTCGGGAAGAAGGTGCGCTGTTTGACAAAATAATGCTCCGGTAATATTAAGAAGAATGCAACTGAGTGTGAAGTCCATGAGCCATTTTAATACACAGCATGCGCGGCAACCACACATGGCAGTCATGGTTTCTTTGCCAAAGACATCAATCACTTGCCAAATTTCTCTATAAATGTATGGTTAGTCCCAAAGCTCTAAACTTTTCAAACTGTGACGATTGCTTGTATGGGGTTCACACCAAACACTGTACCCTTCATTTGTCATTATATTCTCCAGGATTTGATGTTTGACACACTGTACCATGGCTAGAAGAATGAATACCGACAAAAGCAGTGTGAAGTACACGCGCATGACTGACACAGGAGATGGCTACATAGACTTACAGGTAAAAATCAAACCCTCAAAAATTAATTTCTCTCAATTCCTCCATCAGGGTCAGTACCACATGCCAACTAGCACATAAGCAACCCTAATCCCCTAGGCCCTTTTTGTCAGGAACCATCTTTAATCCTCCAAACTCCTCCAAAATTTGCACTTATGCTCACATGAAGGATACCCAGCACCTCAATCCCTCGAAATAATCAGACAGTCCTGCCTCTCAAAATGCATTCATCCGAAATCCTCCAAAATCCTCCTCTTCTTCAAACACCATTCATTCTCAATCCTCCAAAATCCTCATGTGCTTCAACACCATTCAGTCTCAATCTTCCACAATCCTCCAAAACTGCACGAGGATTTTGGAAGATTGAGGAGAGTTAAGGTTGGCGTTTTTTACTTGGTTCAGAGTGCAAATAGCTGGTGAGTTGAAGCATCTTGGAACTATGCGCATGTCCAGCATTCTGTAAAAGAGAAAGGATTTACTGGTACATGCAAGTCAAATCACTTTTTTTTCTTTGTTTAATTCCAAAATTGGACTAGTTCGCAAGAAGACCCACCAAAGTTCCCTGGAAGTCCATCGGAGTGGCCTGCCTCCTCATGGCCATGGGCACCACCCTACTGACCATCGGTGCCCTGCTGGTGACGGGACACATTGACACTAAGTACCAGGACAGGATGTGGCCGATACTGGTACTCGGCACGCTGCTGTTCATTCCGGGGTTCTACCACGTCAGGCTGGCAGTGTACGCCTACAGGGGTTACCAGGGATATTCGTTTGACGACATCCCAGACTACGATGACTGAGTTTGGACGAAGCGAGTGGTCAGGCTTCGCCAGCAGTACTTAATGGGCCGATGCCAAAACAACTTTGAAATCAGCTATCGAATAATGATTTCTGAGCTGCATTTAAATTGAAGAAAATATTATTTTATCTTATTTTTTAACTTGTTTAAAACTCTTTCTGGTAAAAATGGAAGGACAACCCCACAAGTCATTGAGTAGTCGAGTACTCGTGAGTAGTTAACCGAATTCCCATAAAAGCAGAAAAATTACAAAAGTGATGTGAAGTAACTTACAAGCAAATAGCGTGCAAGTCGCACCACATTCTTCAGCACTGAGATTTCCTTACTGTGCAATGCTTTGGGTCATTTACTTGAATTTTTTGTTTTTGGAAGAATGGAATCCTAGGGGGAGAGAGGTGGAGGGAGTGATTCCCTGTTTGCAGGGGACGTACCAGTATTAAGCCGTGAACCCGCAACCCTAGATTGCTACTCGCGAGTACCTGCTTCTATTAGGGCCAGGACGACTACTCAAGTAGATGAAAGACCAGAAATAGAACAAGTAGCATAAACTACTCGCGGGTAATGAAGTTACTCGTCCAGCAGTAGTCAACTTACCATGTATCAATACAGATGGACCCAGCATACCAGACATCAAAAGGATAGCTGATCAGCCTTGTTGATATGAAGCAGTTTCCGATATCTGTTGAAGAAGATTGCCACAACACAGAAAACGAGACTTATCCACTCTATGGAATAGAAATGTGGAGTGTGAAAAAGGGTGTAGAACTCAAGAGTAGATTGAGGATTGAGGCCAGACCTTGTGTTGTTTATGCTCAGCCGTGCATAAAGTTAGGCCTAGATTATTTTACATGGGAAAAATGCAAAATTGCCTAGGGAGTTACATGTACTGGAATTGTAGGGTTAATCGTTCTCAACTCCTGCTATATGAAAGGTTGTACTTGTTTTTTTCACAAACAGGATTTTTTCATATGTGATGCGATCAAGCTACACGAGTCATTTGTCGACCTTGGTCAAATTTTTTTTTTTTCAGATTTGAAAAGAGCACAAACTCAGCATTACTGCTGCGAAAACCGCATGTTGATCTCATCTTTAGTTACAAAATTATGGAAGTCGGAATACCAAGAGATGTGATGAAGTGATGTGATGAAATGGCCCTATTTTGGCCTGTATCTCCAAAGAAAAATCCAGATAACCAACTCATTTAGCTTGATAACATCACATATGTACACTGTGTAAACCTAAAATGTTTGTCTGGTACTGTATCCTAATAGTGCTGAAAACAGGTTTTCATTTTTAGGTGTACATGTAGCTGTAACACAGCTGTGGTAATTTATGGTATTAAAATGTTGTGTCATGATCACTGTAGTCTGACCACATAAGATAGCAGCCACACAAAATACAACTGCCTTGTTACAGCTGCATGTGTTGTGCAGTTCCCCAAAGGTTATTGCGACCTCAAATACATGTAGCAATATATAGTGATGTGTTATGTGCTGTTAAATTGTGTAAGGGATGAGGGTGGTTTACACTGACCTCTATACTTACTGGACTGGCTGACAGTGCCCAGCTTTGAAGCAGCTGTGCGCCATCTTGGTTCACCCACGACCCATGCATTGTAAACACACGTTATTTTAATGGTACATGTGGTTGGTATGGAATTTTCTTCTTCACAGAAAATAAGAATTCTATTTTCTGATCACCTTAACATTTAAACAGTCCTTGTACTGGCCAGCATCCAAAAAACAACGGATTAAAAAATATAAGGGGAATCATTGTCGTAAGCACAGCACCCCTCCACTATAGTACATGGATTTCCAGGAGATCCAAATAGCAGACCAGGTGCTTCAAGGTGCAGTGACCAATTAGCGTGTTTCACAGCCAGTGCAGTTAGTATAGAGGACAGTGGAGGTTACATGTAACCAGTTTTGCCTTTATCCAGAATGTGCTGTTATTTACAATAAACAAACAAGTCTTCCAAATAATCAGAAACAATTATTGGAGGAGCTTTTGTAGTTGTCACTTGCAAAAGAAAGAGTTGCTGAATCCTACCAGTATTGCTTTTTAGTGTAATCTTTCTCCCAATTGTTCTGAGGGGAAAAAAAACCTCTCCGAATTAAAAGCTCGAACATCGATTTTGATTCCCAAGAATATTTATTGATACATGACCTATAAGGAATCATCAGAACGGTACAAATACATTATACAAGTAGAAATACATTGAACAAATAATGTAAAAAAATGTAATCACAGTTATAGACAACAACAGTCTAAGCAGAATTCATTGTTGCAAATAAAAGTCTATTTCTAACATCTACACTGTTAAGTTCATGTTAAATTTGGTATATTCGGTAAATTATTTCTTACAGTGTAACATGGTGGACTGCCCTGATCAGGCTTTGAATGGACATTGAAAAACTAATACTCCTACTCAGTATATATTCATTGATATCACAAATTCAGGACAAGCCTGACGATATTTGTATAGATTTGTACAGGTGCAGCTATTACATCACAGAATCCGAAGACAAAAAAATTAAGTGTACATTAAACAGTTCTACAGGGTGGTAAAAAAAAAGTTTACACTTTTTTTTTCAGACACAGGTTTCTCAAAATTGGGGAGACATGTTGACATTGTTTTAAGATATTCTTAAACAACATGATTTTGGTGGTATATGGTGGGAAAGGTGTTGAAAATAAAGCCTGAATTAAGAAATGGCGGCCTTTTAGAGAAATATGGTCAAAAACCAGTTTGTCCACACGTGTGTATGAGCATGGAGCTGTTTTATAGCTCCATGGTATGAGATATGGTCATTGTTGTTGCTGTTCTTTGTGCACGCAGTGCTGTTGTTTTGACCATGTCTCATAAACTTGCATGTGGACAAACTCAGTGGTTTTTGACCATTTTTCTGTAAATGGCCGCCATGTCTTTACCTAGGCTTTATTTTCAGTTCCGTTTTCACCATATTCCACCAAAATTTCGTAGTTTAGGAATATCTTAAACAATTTCAACATGTCTCCCCAGGTTTGAGAAATCTACGTCTGAAAAAGTGTGAACTTTTTTTTTGACCACCCTGTACTGTACTAAACTACAGGTGTTATTATTATATCATTCACCTTTTTAAAAGTGATTCCAAAATGTGTGCAATAGCAATCAATTACTGGATGCTGTTTATTTTAGTCGAATACAATTTTCCTTTTTTTCAGGGTATTGTATTAAACCATTTAGAAAGAAAATATGTGAATGAAACTCATGAATTTTCAACAGCAGAAATATTAATAAACATTCAATGAAATACTTTTTTTAATTGTGTGTGAAACAAGTGCCAGTGTACAAAGATTAAATACAAAAGAAAGTGAAGTTATTGGTGCAGTTAGCGCAAACAAAAAGTTCAACGAATGTAAGTTTCTGGCAGAAAGTTATCCAACGGACGGAATGTGCAACTGTGAATGTTTCCCTGAGATTACAGAGAATGCTGGGAAAATCAGGGATTGTTTTTTTTTTGGGGGGGGGTCTAAATAACTCTAGAGGCATTTCTTATTCAACATGTAAATATACTGCGAAGTAAAATTTGACGTCATGAAATGTTCATGGCAAAAACTGCCCGAGTTGAAGTGGTTTTTAACCTTTTCAGGCATGCAAATTTTTTTTCACATTGCTGATTTCCTCGTTTATTTTTACTTCTCATTAATGCCATTACAAATTGAAAAACACCGTACAAAGTCTTGTATGGTTTGGAATTTCTTCATTTTCCCCCCTAAATTCCCAGTTGCATGCCTGCCTTTTTTGTCAATACAGATACTTGCAGGGTACATCTCAACTTGGTGTTTAAGTTGATGTTCACTTAAAAGGTGCACAATTGTGATGCGATCAAGCTACATGAGTCGTTTGTCGACCCTGGTAAAAAAAAAAAAATATTACAGATTTGAAAAGAACACCATCTCAGCATTACTGCTGTGAAAACCGCATGCTGGTACCATCTTTAGTTCCAAAATTATGGAAGTCGGAACACCTAGAGATGTGATACAGTGATGTGATGAAGTGGCCCTATTTTGGCCTGAATCTCCAAATGAAAGTTCCTGACAAATGACTCATTTAGCTTGATCGCATCACAATTGATCTATTGAATGCTTATTGAGCTGAGAGCCAAAGTTGAACCCCGAAAGCCACTGTGAGGTGCCAATTTGTTTGTAAAACAATTAGCCAAATTTGAATACACCTGTCAGGCTGCAGCCATTTTGCGTCTAGCACATACGCCCAATTAGTACAAACGCCAATTTAACGAGCACTGGATATTGTCTGAGTGGGCAAATGGCAAACAATATAAAAAAATTAACTATTAACTACTTTCAAATAATGCATAATGTAAATACTTGTAAATGAATACGTATAATAATTATGGACAATTACAGATTAAATAAAATACCTTCATGTACATTTTTTTTAAATATATATAATTGTATAAATAATGAGTTTAAAATGCAAAACCATGCACAGGTTGGTGCAACACAAAATAAAACAGTGAATACTATGAACTACATTATTTCTGTGGCATGTGAGTTACCTTGCAAAATTTCAGAGTACATAACTAAAATAGTCGGGTTTTAAAATTGTACAGCAATTAATACCGGACGTACATGCATTCATGGCACAATGTAAGGTAATACAGAATAAATTGTCTAAACTTCACAAAACAAATATATCAAACTACAATGTACATTTACATTGAATTTCTATTTAAAATATCCCTCAAAAGATTTATGTCTAAAATCATGCGACGAGCAAAATCTGCAAAGGGAACAATTAACGGACAGATACTAACCCCAATCTCTAACTGACAATACACTGCAGTCATGACTCAAATCATTTAAAAAAACAGTAAAAACTTCTGGTTATCAAATAAATTCTGACGGGAAAGGATAAAAACATGATTGCATGCATGTATGTACTTGATTTTGTCTCATTCACTTTTGTAACTTCTGACTAAACCTGAGTTTCCTGATCTTTTCTTGTGAAGATTCTTTTAGGGTGGAATCGGCTACATGTACATTTAGAACTCTGCACAACTTCTATGAAAGAAAAATTGTCTTCACAAATGTTCGACTATTTTGGGTTTTCCTGTAACCAATTAAAAGTTCAGTGAACCTTAAGAAATATACGAAGATACTGACAGCGGTATCTGCTGTTACACCAGTTTGAAACCGGCCTGCCAACTCCGTCCAGCTCGAAAATTTGTAACGTAAAAAGGTTGTGGGTTTTAAGTCCAGCAAAGCAAGCTTGTTATTTTTTTTCTCGCAACCTGTCAGACAGCACCAAGTATACAGTGCTTATACCAGTACCATTACCTCAGTGTAGGGAAAAACCCAATAGGTAAAGAAATGTGCTCCCCTATAGGCCTGTGCACTTCACAATATGCACTGCGACTGCAGTGGCCTAAATCCGTGTCGGCAAGTTGGGGGGGGGGGGGGGGGATGGGTGATGACTATATCGTAATATGCGCAAATTGCCGGGGGGGGGGGGGGGGTAGTACAACATGTGACACTAGGGGGTCCTGTTTATAATACAAATGTACATGTCATGCAGACTTGTGTGATTAATACCGGTACATGTACATTCCTTAACCTTTACATAAAACAAGGCATTGACATATTTTGTACTATTGAAGAAATTTTGACCATTGGGAAGTTATACAAGAAAACTGCAAAATTGCCATTTCTTTTGTATTTCACCACAAAAATCTGGGAGCGATAATCCAATGCCCCCCCCCCCTCCCCCAGGAAATTCAAGCCCATGACTGCGAGCCTAAACTATCTGTCAACCTTGTATATGACAATCACTTATTAAAAGACAGCATCAAGTTTGGGAATTCCTTGAAAAAAAAATTAAAATTAAAATTTTGTTTGACAACTGATTCCATTTTCAAATAAAAAATAATAATACTGTTCTACATTTCATTGAATACAATCTTTGCTGACCAATTTTCGTCATTGTAAAAAGTCCAACTTCAAAGAAGAAAAACATTTACTATTTAAAATAACAATTTAGTTAATACATTTTTAAACATTACTTAGATTAAATTGACAACTTGAACAATTTGCAAGGATGCAAAGATAAATTCTTTAAAAAAAACCCATGAAACCAATGGCACTAAACTTTTGGCAAACACAAAACAATGTTGACCAAAATTTTGCCCACATTCCCCTTAATAATGCTGCAATTACAACCTTCTCCTGGCGAAACGCCAAGAATCTACTGAAAAACGTCATTATATACATGTACAATCAAAGTTTCCTATAAGCACTTACTGGTAATTGTTTATATCAAGCATTTTATCAAAAATTTTCTTTTCAGGAATAGTTGTCGGTACATGGCAAGATTACATTTTTGTTAAATGCCTGTATGCATAAATACGCTGGCAAGATACATGTATAACTGCTGCATTGCTACATATTTGGTTTTAAACTATTTACTACCACTGTTTAATTAACGATAACTTCATTTTATTATAATACATTCTAACTAGTATTTCATTTCAACTTTAATCAACTGCGCTTCTAGAAATTGGAAATTTTAGTTTGTGTTCACAGTTTGGTGACAATCCAGGTAAATATCCTTCCCATGAATAGTGGTATCTTTGGATTAACATGTATTTACAACAAAAAAACAGGAATAAGGCAAAAAAAAAAAAATAGTCGGTCTCTGGTCAGACCAAAGTTCCAGAATTGATGCGGCGACGCGTTTTTTGGGGGGGTTTTTTGGCTTTTTTTTTTTTTTTAAGTAGGGATTGTACATATAAGGTGGGTACTATTTTTTGCTTTTTTGTGTCCTCATATACATTGGTGTCCTCCATAATTTGCCTTGGTGCCCTCCATCATTTGCCTTGGTGCAATTTCCCCATTCCTTGGTACAAAAATTTGAGAAGTTGCGGAAATAGAGGGCGCTATTGTAGCTACCGCGGACAATTTGAAGAAAAAAAAAGGTTGACGCGCATGATTAAAATCGACGCGTGCGCTGACCAGAGACCGACAATTTTTTTTTTTGGCCTAACATGGCGTAATTTGGGCCCTTGGAAAAGTTTCAAATGATGGTACAGTTGGACACTTTGGTACAGTTCGACTCCCTGCTCAGACAGTAGTGATGTGCATTTACGGGTAGTATGGGAACCGGTTACCCTATTGAAGTAAAACAAGGGTGACCGGTACCCATAACAGAAACCCAATCCCCAAATCCAAATTCTGGAATTTGTCTGAAGAGCTTTATACATTTAGCTTTACGGTGTAACCCGCAACTTTTGCAAGCGTAATCTGTCTCAATCTGTAATCTGTATCTCCCGAATTGACACCAACATGAATCGAACCTGTGCCCTGTGTAGTAAAGTACACTACCAACTGAGCTATCTAATTTCCTTTTTTCGGGGTAATTTTCCAGACTAACTACTCATTTACCCTGGTACATAATGTAGGGGAAAACTGTTTGTTGGCCAAAAAGCAGCAAAACGTTTTCAGACAGTTTGTGCATCAAATGATACAGAAATAAAAAAGGAAGACAACCAACTCAAAAAGTCTGATAAAATACATGAAACTTGAGGTAACAAGTTGAAAATACAAAAAAAATAAATTCAACATTTGTACATGACACCCTGTTTAATTTTTTTTGAAATTTAATCTCACATCAAACTATTCTTTCAGGCACTTTTTTTATACAGAAGAGCGAAGATGTGAAACTAAATCCAAGAGGTAGCATGAAAGAAACAAAGAAGAAGAAAGTTTTGTTTTTGGTTCATAGAGATAAAAGAATGACATATAAATTAGGGATACATGTATAAATTCTTTAAGTACCCCATATCGGTAGTAGTCTGAGTATCAACCGTTATCCATGGAGCCCAGTCTCCTGTATAACGTCTTATGTATCTAAGCATGCAGATTTATGCAATCCCGCACCTCAGCCAATCAGAGTCGACTTTACTAAATCGTGACGTCATTTCATTCCCAAATCAAGACATACTGTTTGATTGGTCAATTCAAATGCAGTGTTTTGTAATACAACAATTACGGCCGGGCATATAGATCGATGAAACCTAAACAAACGTGCACATATCGCGCAACATAAGAGTACGTAACCACAGCCTTTGTTGCTGTGTCCATGACGCGACAACGGGTGAATGACCGAAGACCCGATATAAAAAGCGTCCGCTGATTGGACAAAATCTAGAAGTCAAGAGGCAGTTGTCTTGCATCAGCGTTTCTGCTCACATGTAATATAGACCATGACTTTCGCCATGGTCCATTACATAGACTATACCGGTAGTCGGTCTTCTGTAAAATTGTACTTTTTGAGATTAACTATTTCTGCATTGTATATTTATTTCGTTTGTTGTCCAGAACTCGCGTCAAATGTCTTTCATTCTGTAATTCATACCATACCAAATTAGTATTATAAGAATATTAAACTGTGCTCGCTTGGTAATACATTATTTGATGGCCATTACACAAAATTGAAGAGGAAGAGAACAATATACAATATCTACTTTCAATTATAAAAACCCTTTCGAACTTCATAAATATATCATTACCTCAAAGTGAGTAACATTATATTCCAACTCAACTGATAACTTTGCCAGGGATAAACAAAATGTATCCCTGCACAGACCTAGATGAATTTGGGATTGACCGATTTCTTTTCTCTTAGGGTATGTTTTGGGTGACTGGGTGAGGCCCCACAGTTTACTATATTTGGGGGGGGGGGGAGGTAAGCCTTTCAGAGGACCTTATTTTTTAAAAATGTTGAAGAATTGGTTGGAAATTCCAGATACGGGAGATTACCGTATGATATTCTAAGAAAATGTCAGTCACTGCTGAAACGAAAGAGGACAGAGGGGAAAGTGAGAATCAGGTCTGGGGCCAGACTGGGACTTGAGTGTCATGGCCGAGCAGTAAGAGCACCAGACTCAAGCTCTGGTGTGGCTGATCAGCAGAGTGTGGGTTCGAGTCCCGGTCTTGACACTTGTGTCCTTAAGCAAGACACTTAACCATTATTGCTTCGTCGTTCAGATGGGACGTAAAGCCGTAGGTCCCGTGTGTTGAAGAACCCAGTTACACTTATCGCTATAGAGGGGGTTGGCCCCGGTGTTTCTGGCAGTCCGTTTATCCTCATACATACGGCATGAGGCTGCACTTCCAAGGAAGGAAGGAAACATGCCAAACAAATTCAGGCCAACTTTAGTCACCCTTCAGCCAACAAAATTCTCCAAAATTTCACGAGGCTAAGACAAGGTTCTCAGTAGTTCACCAGCAAAGTTTGAAGTCTTCATTACATTTTTAAAGGAGACTTTTCTTCAATATTTTGTAACCGAGAGTGAAGCCAAGTGATTTAAATTTGACTAGACTGGTACATGTCCAACTGTTTGAACAGACTATTGCCAGTCTATTTTCTTGTATACCGGTAGCATGTTTTCAATACCTTAAGTTTTGGGACTCTCATATACATTGTTGAGAGTCCCAAATTTTTGGACTAGTCAGGGGCTAGGCTAGAAGTTTCAGGGGCCAACTTAAAGTCTTTGATTCTAAATCCAACCTGGGTTTACCCATCCAAAAAAGCAAAGGGTAAACAAAGACACAGGCCAATACTGTATCAATAAAAAAAAAACCAAAAAACAGTGCCATTGAAAATGTACCATTTGAAATCTCTAATAGGAAGTTACCACAAGAAATCTACTGTAGGGAGTAACTAGCATGTGTCGGCGCTGCAGTACTCTGCTCATAACACATCACATGCAGAAGACTTGCAGTCGGTCATGTCTAGGGGGACGCAAACATCTTGTTCTGACTTGAGGAGCAAATGTAATGGAAAGAGGCTGGTTAAGTAACGTGTTTCCTCGCAAGATGGACCCCAATGCACTTGGATTACTTGCTGAGGAAATCAATGTTTGCTTTGACGCACCTCCCCGTCGGCACGTCTAGAGCGCTGACCTTGATCTCCGTGTCTCCGTACTGCATGGTGAGTTGCAGCTCGCGCCGTTTCTTTGGGCTCGGGGCGTCATCCCCGCTGGGTGCGTCCGACACGTCGATGTGCATGGTGCCGCACTTCTGGACCCCCTCGTCCGTGATGAACTGCACCTTGTCCCTCTCCGTGCAGTAGATGTTGATGATGATGGCCTTCTGGTTGGGTTTGGCCGGCGTGTAGCTCCGCGTGACCTTGTCGCCCACAGCCACCGACTGGTCCGACTGCACAAACGTGTCGAAGACGTCCCGGCACCACTCCAGCCCGTCCTTGACCACGTGTTTCTCCCGCGGGTGTTTGGAGGGGTCGAACTTGTTCAGGACGCCCACGCCGTAGGTCAGGCGGGAGCGTCGGACGCGGACGGCCGTGGGGTCCAACCCGAACATGACCGCCCCTTTGAGAATGGCGAGTCCCACATCCCGGGGGATGATCACCCGTAAGCGGCTTGCAAATTTTTTCCTCATCTGGTTCTGCAGCAGAGGGGACTGGGCGAAGCCTCCCGCTAGGAATAGGTAGGACACCCCCTGCGGGAAAACGGTACTCAAATAAATATTCAAGTTATGGACAACATAAACAAGTAACCCCAAATTGTGACAAAGAGAAATATATGGCAGACACTTGAGTACAACTGACACCAATCAAACTTAGGTTTGTACACATTCTGAATAAAATTAGCCGTGCATAGTCTGTGTGATAAGCGTGCAAGCCAGTGCAGTCATTGAGCTCAATGTGAGTGGTCAGGTACCGCCGTCTGCAGTTCCTAGTCCACAGCCTTTTCCTGTGTAATTATCATAGAGCTATATTAAATTACTAGAGTGCTGGCTCTATGTACGAAGTGATGCCTGCTGGGTGCATCCATGTTTGCACACAAATCTATGGAAAACTCAAAATTTTGTATGGCTTTTGTACAGCTATTTGCATACATGTATCTGCGTTTCTGTTCTATACAAGTGCGTTACCGAAGCCGATACGCCCAAAATCAAAAGGCACGATCAGCAAATGAGCGTTATAATTTACTCCTCTCAAGCAGCACAAACACGTGCTCGTATCCGATGATTTTTACCATTACGTTTTTGAACCCCCATGACGCACTTAAGTTGTTTGCATAATGTTCTACAACTTGCCTGTTGCATTTAATAAAGTCCACTTTCAAATTTCACTCAATCGTATTTAGTTATGTTCAACAAACACGTACATGAATTCAAAATGTCTGTACACAGGACGGCTTCAAAGCGTCTCCGCGCGCAAGGATGAGGAGTTACCGCTCTAGTAATTTAATATACCGGGTAGCTCTACGGTAATTATACACTTTCTTTCTTCACAGTAGAATCTTTCAAACAAGTAGAATCCTTACAATTTCATACCTTTAATTCAGGTTCGTTCAGCAGTCCTTCCACGAGGGAGATGATGCTTGCGACCGCCGGCCTAAACAGTTGCTGCATGCCCTCTGGACTGAAACGCAGCATACCTGGAACTCAAAAGACAAACGTCACAAACGCAGGTGCCAAAAGGGTTTCATTGTTGATTGATTGAGATTTTTAAAGTGTTATTAAGCAAATTCATTCAAATCAAGGAGTGCTAGACACTATAACTATATGAACAGTCAAAGACACTCAAAAATTAATCCTCTTCCCCTGCTTTGCCTTTTACACAGGCTAGTCACCAAAAGTCAGATCATATATCAAGCAAGCACTGTGACTAGTCAAATTCAGTCAACAGACAAAAACAGGCAAACGGTAGGCACAGCTGGCTTGTCAATCATCTTCAGTCACAGCATAGCTGTATCAAGTTACATAAACAGTCACAGCCAGTCAATCCTGCTTTATGCAAGCTGGGATCCAGAGCTTTTATTCTGTTGAAAACAGTCACTTGATTGATTTTGGCTGCAAGGACAACTTGGCACAGAATGTATGTTTGCATAGGAGGTTAATAAAGCTGTAGAAGTTCTAATAGTGGGTTCTGCTCTTTAATGAGGTCCTTTTATAAGCATGTGCTTTTGAGAGCTGGTGAAAAAAAAAAAAACAATTTACACAAAATTCCATTAAAAGTCATATCTGCTGAACACAACAAAATCAGTGAGTAGAATTCAGTTCTCAACACCACAAATAAACAAGCAACCACTGTGCCACATTGTTAGAGTGCATGATGTTTGGATCCCTAGAGAAAAAGCCAATGCTGCCCATCAAGCCAGCGTTTATCTCCGTGTTTCAGTTAAGTACGAAGCGATAGAGAATATTTCTATTCCCCCTGGATGGGATGCCAGTCCATCACAGGTGACTCCTCAGCTAATGCCGGTACCCGTTTATACCTCTAGGTGGAGAGAGGCAAGTGGGGGTGGAGTGGCTTGCCCAGGAACACAACATATGACCAGCAGCTGGATTCGAACCCCTGACCCTCTGATCATGAGTCACAAACTCTAACCACTAGGCAACACTCCCCTTCCCTAAGACAGAACAGTATTCTTCTGTCAAGGTGCATCTCAAGGACCTTTGGATTTCATGTGTCCTCTTAGGGAGAATGACATTATTTTTATCTTAAAGAGGGGAAGGAATGATTGTGGTGTTCTGTAATACCTTGAGCGGACCATGTGACGTCCCGGCTCCTGTAGTTCCAGATGGCATCCTCCACGGTTTGCGTCTCCCGCGTGTACTTCTTGTAGTAGTCGATGAAGGAGAAGGGCAGGGACACGTTGAGCGGGTTGCTCTTGTAAGGGTTGACGTTGCGCTTGCGGGACTCAAAGGCAATCATGAGGTCCACCCAACCCGCAGGCCTCTTGATCTGAAGAGGAAAGAAAAACAGAGAACTGATCAGTAAAAGACTGATGCATTTGGCCTCGCCCACTGATGGCTTGATCAATCATAGCTGTTTATTGCAGCACCAAATACCGAACAACTCCGACACTTGTGACGCGCGGCTGGAACATGATGGGAGAGGCACGTGTTGTTGCTCATACTGTGCACAGTCGGCAGAGTCTAACAAATCGGTGCATTCTGGGTCGCAATGTAAAATTGACAAAAGAGGCAAAGAGTCCATCAACTGTTTTTCCGAAGACTTTAAGCAGAATTGTAAGTCCATCTTACATGAAAGTTAAATCGCGAGGCAGTCACAATTGAAATCACCAATACATGTACATGTAAGGTCAACAGAAATATGGGATAAGCATGACAAGGTATATTTACTTTTTAATTCCCAGATTTGCCTTCCTCTGATGTAACATTGTAGAGTCAAGGACAAATCTGGATATACAGGTAAAAAAAATTGCATCTCCTTGATACCCCCCCCCCCCCCCCCAAAAAAAAAACCCCTGATATGGTGTCCAAGAGGTTGCAGGTTCAAATCCCGCTTCAGTCCATTCTCTTTGCTCACTTAAAAAAGTTTTTAATACAACAAACTCTTAGAACGTGAGTTGTCTTGTTGGGTGTTCAATCAGTTTGATTAGTTTTGTGGCCAGAAAATGAATGAGCTTCTTCGTTCCAACATGCAGTGTTCTGCAGGTTGCGGGTTCGAATCCATAAAAGCCTGGTTGATCACCTTGAACTCTTCAATGTAGTCACTGCCAAAGATGTCCACCAGCAGCTTCTCAAACTCGGCGTCCACGCTGACTGAGCCGTACATTCCCCCTGCGGCCTTGTGCAGTTCCTTCAGCGTTCCCCCGTCCTCTTCAACCTCATGGACGGTGATGTCAACGGTGCCGCCCCCGCAGTCTACCACCATGTAACGGGTACCTAAAGTTAGAGTAGAAGGGTAAAAGCAGAAACGTAAAGGCAATACCATTCAATATTGGTTGTGACCTTCACTTACGTTATTTTCCATAATCACTGTATACTTAGTGTCGTCTGAGAGATGGCGAGGAAAATGTCACAAGCTTACTCAGGTAGGACTCGAACCCAAGACCTCCTGCTTGAAGATGTCTTATAGCACTCGACCACCGAGCTTGCTGGGGTCGGTTGGCTGGTTTGAAACCGGACAATGTACGGTACATGTAGTAGCAGGTACCGCAAGCAATCAATATGATGGAATTTGAAGGCCCTGTTAGTAATCGATCCATTGACTTTGTTACTGTCATTGCAAACTTACTGAATCAGTTCCACAAAATGTGGACCGGGTCCAAAGTAGGAATAGCCTTTAGTCAAGTCCCACGCGCTTACCCGAACACGTGACGTACCCCGGATGCTGACACGTAAAAAGACTAGGACGAGCGGCGTAGCTGCGAGGGCCTTTACCATCTCGTGGAGAACGCTTATGTTTTTCTTTACATTTGTCTACCGATTTGGTAGACATGCATAATGTATTACCAGTTGTGAATTGACCAATGAAAATGCAGAATTACTAACGTAAATCATGCAGCCGTCGTCTGGCGCCAGACAGCCATGGCGCGCGTGCTGTTGTTGGTAACTGCAAACCACCATTAGATAATTGGTTTATATTGCTTGATTTATATTACGTGAATAAATGAATAAGTGATTAGTTCCACGAGATAGTAAAGGCCCTCGCGGCTTTGCCGCTCGTGCTAGTCTTTTTACGTGCCAGCATCCAGGGTGCGTTACATGTCCGGATGGTCCGGGTATAGGCGCGTGGGACTTGACTAAAGGCTAAAGTAGGAACAGCTGAATATCGGCCACAAATGCCATTCACAAGTCAAATCACGTACGTATGGTTAGACAAAGAGCAAGGAGATTCAACCAGCGCCTTTGTCACTTTTCATTTGAATGGTTGGTGACTCGACTTACAACTTTGTGACTTGCGATTGATTCACTTGTGATGACTTTGGGGGATTTGATTACTATTCTAGAAAGCATTCAAATCTCAATTCACTATCGAGTTGATTACATAACCCGGTCGTTGGCACGGGATCACGCCGATACAAACATGGCCACCACTCACTACAGACTCATGAATCTTCTGAGTATGTTTGTGTTGTTTCGTTAGGAAATTGGAGAGAAAATAATCTACAGGTGTGACTTATTTGTATGATTACAGTCCGCAGTGAAACAGTTGACCATCGTGTGGTAGCATTTGTTGACCAATTTTTCGAACGATTTTACTTCACTTTGAATACACACTATGCAGTACCAATGACTGGATCAGTTGTCGCCTGTGTGGCATGATCCATCCCTAGGATAAATCCAGTGACCTCGCTCGCTATTACGTAACACTTTGATATGTCTTTCCATGTAGAAAGCTCTGATTTGTGTGTACAATTCCCGTATTGACTCATGAGAAAGTGGGAACTTTACTAATACTGCAAACATGGTTCATCGAAATAAGAGCAGAATTTCGACCGGAGATCCACTATAAGAACTTAGTTATCTGTGTGTCTAGTATCTACTAATCTCACAGAATCAGGGAGGTTTTCTTACAAACATGTACATATTAGATCTCAATAACTTTCAAAATTGAAGCCAATCCAAAACACAGCTCCTAATCATCCAGACATTACACTTTAAGCTGGCAAAGCTCACTTCAGATTCTCACACCACCCAACCAAAACAATCCCTGGAACTTGGTGGCATATTCCCCCCTTAACTTTGTACTTTCTGGGGGTAATGACCTGGGGTTTCAGAGGGGCAGGGTTTTGGTCATCAGACAATCTGGAAAATCTGACTTGCAGAAGTCGGGACACAGCTGCATGGGGACAGAGATGGATGGCCGGAATTATAGGGAGCAAAAAGGGGGTTTAACAGTTGTTAACCCTCCCTGGAGGGGGCACATTGATCTTGGTGGTAGCCTGGGGCAGGCTGTCGCTGGTTCTGCTGGGTTGGGCAAAAGGGATATTAGTAGAGATCCATAGTAGGTTTACAAGTGTGGATTTAACATATTGTTTGTTTGTTTGTCAGCATTTGTAATATTAAAGAGGACAACGTTACTGTTGAGTAGAGTACTCTGAAGCAATAAAGGCATTCATTTAATTTCAGGATCAATTTTGCCAGCAAGAAACATGCATTTTTTTTTACGGAAAAGTGCAATTTGTACTGCCAGCTAAGCCATTATTGTTCAACTTCCCAGCACCCCAAAGTTCACAAGATTTCTCATAAATTGCAAATCTCATGCACACGCCTGTACTAGTGAAACCCACAGGCCACAGCAATAATCAGCAAGGCAGTGGCCTAGCACACTGGACACCATCTTCCTATGGGGGCGCTGTTCAAACCGGACGATCATGGGCACTATTAGACAATATGCGACACTTTCCATGGCAGCACAACAAAACAACCAAAAAGGGCACTCATTAAAAAAAAAGGGGCACTCTTTAAAAAAAGGGCACTCGTAAAAAAAAGGGCACTTGTGAAATAAAGGCCACTCTTTACAAAATATTGGTGTTTTTTTTTAATTCCCTCCCCCAATGATATAAACTAGGAATATATTTTTGTTTTTCATGTGTAACAATTTTCTTTTTTAAAATTTACACATGTAACAAGCACTAATCACTTACAAAATATTTCAGATACCGCATGTTCTATTTTCCCGTCAGCATGGGCTTGAAACCGCCTCAACGAAAACAAAAACATCTCCTTTCCCTCCACAAGCAAGAGAGATTTTGTTAAAACCTTTTTTCAAAAATTCACTTTTTCTCCTATCAAATAATAACACAAACACTGTCCCAATGGAATTTCGAGTGATTGATATTTTGACAAGTTCCACTGTTGACGGAGGGATGAATAGCCATCTTTGTTCCTTAAGACCCCGAGGGGTAAAAATGACTGGCTTCCCCCTTACACAAGGGACTCATTTGGCCCAGAATAAAAAATCTGCCAGATTAGCCAAAATCACTGAACATACACTGTAACATGTGTCTCAGTAGCAGTGGTGGACTCCCAGGATATCTGACCTGGCAATTCCCATTGGATGAGTCAAACATTGTAAAGATTGTGCCTCTTGTGGTCTGCATTTCCTACATTAAAAACAGGTCTACAATATAGCTGTACATCAAATTCCATTAAGAGTAAAATGTGTTGAACACAACAAAATCAGAGAGTAGAATTCAGTTCTCAACACCACTAATAAACAAGCAAATCAGACACTGTGCCAAGGTGTGAGAGTGCTGCATGACGTTTGGATCCCTAGAGAAAAAGTAAAGTCTTTCATGAGCCAATATGGCCCATCAGGCCAGCATTTATCTGCGGTTTCAGTAAAATGAAACGACTGAGAATATTTCAATTCCCACTGGATGGGATGCTAGTCCATCGCAGGTTACTCCCCAGCTAATGCCGGTACCTGTTTTACCTGAGTGGAGAGAGGCAAATGGGGGTGAAGTGGCTTGCCCAAGGACACAACATATGACCAGCAGCTGGATTCGAACTCCTGACCCTCTGGTCATGAGTCACGAACCCTAACCACTAGGCCACACTCCCCAGCATTTTGTACATTAAAAATGGGCATAGTTAAATACAAAGCCCTACAAATGAAGATCCCGAAACAGTCACCAACGAGACCAACATTGTAACTTGTATGCATAATTTGCTGCTGAAATTTGTCCAATTCAAAGCTGTACAACCAACAAAGGTATGTACCGGTACCGTTTATAACCTTTCCACATAAATACTATTAAATGAACAAGTTGAAAGCATAATTCTTTGCAATTTCATAGTCATCTAAAGGTGAAATCAGGGACGAAAAGCTGCTAAAAGGACAACACGAACTGGCACATTCAAGTTTCAACAGTCACATTTAGGGTGTCAAATTTCTTTTTCAAACCAGAGTGCACTTACATTTAAAGTACAAAATCTGACTGAGCTAATTCCATTTTTTCAAAGAGTTGAAAACAAATTTCTGTCTCAAGGCATGTTCATTTTTGGCGTGAAAGTGAATGTATATAGATGGAAATCTGAGATGTCACAACAAGTATTTGCATTACCAATTAATAGCAAAAGTTAAACGCGTTTCAACCCCGCAAAATTTCGCAGCGAATGCTTCCTGACGTCACATTTGCTTCGCATTCACATCAAGTATGTACCAGCCTTTATGGTAGCAGACTGAAGCAGCCATTCACAAGAGAAGTTTTCATTTCTACATTTTGTCGGTGACTTGTAGTCCACTTTCCAAACAAAATGTCAACAAAAAAACTGACTTGAGCAGGATCTCCTTGCCTTTGAAGTTGCAAAAAATAAAAACAAAGCCATGACTTTGAACATGTAAATTTCTTCTTGAGTGCCTCGCATTCTCCCCACGTAAAAACTCTCTTTCCCTGATAGATCTCTGAAACAGTCCAGTACCCAGACCCCCTCCAGCCTTACCATGCCTGATGTTTTCCGCCACCTGGCTGTTGGACTTTTCCGGCTTTTCCGCGGACCACTTCCGGCGCTGGGAGAGATGCTCCGGCACCAGTTCCCTCATCCTCAGCTTCCGGATGCAGATGGAGGCTGCCTCCGGCTCCAAGGCAATCAGGAGCTGCTCCGGGAAGGAGGGTGAGGCTATGCCCGCCTGAGAATAAAGACCCAAATTGGAACAGGAAAAAATTGGAAATTTCGAAGCGCATATCAATATGTTGAGCAGTATACAGGGGTGTGAGTGACCACTGAAAAAATGGCTTAAAATAGCTGAAAAAGGTGTAAAAAAGCTGAACTTTGGAAATCTCCTATACTTCTGTACACAGCAAGTGAGGGAAAAAAGCTGAAATCCAAAACAACAAAAGCTGAAATCAGCTTTAAAGCTGAGACTTCATACCCCTGAGTATAGGAGCAGGTTTGGTCCTAATTTCCTGACTCCCTTTTGCTTAAAGACTACATGTAATTCGGCACACAAAATCAGAAGCCAATTTCGATACAATCTCGTCAACACAATTTGGAAATGTACATTTGCAGGCGGGTGATGGGTTGCATTGTCCAGCTTTCCCCAAGTATCCAGCAGTGGACGTGTATATATTGTTCAAATTGTTTTTGTACATACCATGGTTCGAACTTAAACTTGGCCACTGTACATGGCCTGTCATCATAGCAAATATCGCTCCGTGGTAAGGCCTCAGAGTGTTGCAAAAAATGAGGTTACATTGAGATGTATCCTACAAATATTGTACAAAGGACTCTCAAGCGTTGGCATTTGTGGTACATGTATTTGACTTGATATAAAACTTTGGCCGATATATCTTGTCTTTTTTCAAAAAAGGTGTTTTTTTGGTTAAGGAATCTTTTGCCAACATCTCCAAAACTAAAGACAAATTTCCTATGGGTACCATTATACCACTGGGCACGTACATGTAAGTAAGTTAAAGCCAGTTTATGCCGAGCGCAAATGCGGATGAGAACGCAACCTTGTGTTATCACGGCGAGTATTAGCATTACAAATTCACAAAGTGGAACACAGTCCAACTCCGGTGAATTTCGCCACAAAGGTTCAGTAATGCATGAACTGGCCTCAATACCAAAGAGGCATGTTAAAAGCCTTAGTTACCCTGTACGCAGCTTCTCTCATAAACTGCTTAGCGGGTTGCTTCCAGATAGCAGGAACGGTAAGCACCCAGCGGATGTCACCCGGGTCAAACCGGCCGTCGTTGGATTGGTCGCACAGTTCCTCCATGGCGTGCCCGCGGAAGAAGCACAGCGCGTGCTCAAAGACCTTGATGGCAGGGAGTCTCTGTCCGTTGGCCGCGGTAAGCTCGGTCTCCAGGTTTAGATTCTGTGAAAAAAAATAAGGGAAAATTTGATTTAAAACAGGTTTTCACTGGAGGTAGACTTGAACCTGCAACCTCTAGAAGAACGAACTTAAATCAAATCCCATGTTCGAAAAATTGACTGGATCGGGATTCGAACCAGCAACCTCTGAAATTCTGTACCCGTGTTAGCTTAATAGTCTCTCTCAATAACAATATGAAGCTGAAACCCTCTGGAAATTTGTGAAGAAATGCTCTATCAACTGAGCTCTCCAGACTCGCGTTTGAAAAATTGGACTGAGTGGGATTTGAACCCGCAACCTCTGGAAAATATACCTGTGCTCCATTAGCTGAACTGTACAGACTATGGTAAGTGGGATTTAAAACTGAAACCCTCTGGAACGATAAACTGATGCTCCATCAAGTGAGCTTTCAGGCCTTCTGTTGGACAAATTGACTTGAGTGGGATCTGAACCAGCAACCTCTGGAATACAGGACCGGTGCTCCATTAGCTGAACTGTCCAGACTAAGTGGGATTTAAAACTGAAACCCTCTGAAGCAGTGAACCAATGCTCTATCAAGCAAGCTGTCATGCCTTCTGATGGAAAAATTAACTCGAGTGGGATTTGAACCTGACACTTCTGGGACACTGCGCCAGTGTTCTGTCAACCATGCTATTGAACCCCACTGTTGGCAGTCTCAAAAGTCGGTTGCTTTGCGCGCACACGACGGCAAATTCTTGTGCAAAACGCAGTTACGAAAAATCGACGAAACAGATCGCCGGTCCGTACGGGAAAAATTAGGACGACCCGAAGTGTCCGACCCGGCGGAAGACACCCTCCACATTTTTCCACGGATGTGGAGCGATTTTGGCGCTGCGGGAGACCGCGGTCTCGGATCCTTTCAGGAGCAAACATTTCTCGGAGGCCGAGTGAAACTTGGTCTTATAAATATAGATTGGCAAAGTTCCAACCAGGCAGTGGAGTGGAGCTGGAAATTCTAGCTACAACCATCACAGATGGTTGTTAATCATGGCCGATTGTGGGAGCGATAAATCACCATGGCGACCCGGGGGATGAGGAATGCAGTCAGGGGCAACTGTTAAACCGCAAAGAGGGAGAAAAAGAAACTACCGGTAAAGAGGACAGAAGAGCGATCCAACGACCAAACACCTGACAGAATGTCAACTCTTTGAACTTTTTTCCTACTTTTTAGTCGCTGGGGATTTTTGGAAGGTCCAGGTTATTCGTTTGAGTCACTGGGGACTTTGGAAGGACCAGGTTGTTGATCCTTTGTCACGCTTTGTTACATTGTACGGTCTTTAGTAAGGGAGGGGTGGGGGGGGGGAGTGATCTGGAATGCTGTGTATGTAGCGGGACAGTGTACTTTCATTACAGGTGCACGTCCCGCCTCAAACTGCCTCCCATTATTGGATTGTTAATCATCATTACTGCTTCTGGCCTATTTCTGTCTTTTCTGCAATTCCTGCTGCAAGTCACGTACAATGTACCCATGCAATGCAAAGTTTTAAATGCAATCCTTGCAAATACACCTTTGTGTCCCATTTAACCTTATTTTCAAGGGTATTTTGGTGCCTTTTTGTTTTTATGCTTATGCAAATTTCCATACTCATGAGCAAAACTGTGACGCCTTTCTGGGCAGAAACTTCAATTTTACAGCTATTTCAACAAACAAAGTTGCTAGAATTTTGGATATCTTTATGGTCCATGTTTTGAATGAGCACATTTTGGGTTCACAATTTGAACAGAAAACCCTTTAACTGAACAGTGTCTTCCTGGAATGACATCACAGTGTTAACAGCACCCTCAGTTGTTGGGAAAAGCGTAAATATGTAAAATGTTTAAAAAGTGCACTTTGAAATGAGATTAACCAAAAAGGGATGTCAAATAGATTTCATACATTTAAGAGGAGTAGAAAGTTACACAAAATGTGTTCCTAAGAAAAATTCATCGCATGGACTCTTTTAAGGGAATGGCAAAACTTTGACGTTTTAATAGGCAGAACATGCTCATTGCTATATGCTTCAGCAACCACGTACATGTGCATGTTTCCTTAACCTGACCACGAATGGTGTGTTCCATTCTCGCAGGTGCAGAAAAATGCTTCCTGCACATTTACACGTACCACAAGTACAATGTAGGTAACATTGCTACCCCCTAAATCATGAAAACCGAATGCCATTTATTCCCGCGTGATCTGAAAGTAATGTGCACGCAACATTTTTTTCACTCAAGGAGTGCCAAAATGGATACTCCCAAATGCAATTCCTCCTGTCAAAAACATTGTACATGTACATGTTTTTTAACTTTTGAGTATTCAACACCCGTGTATCAGGTACATGCATGTGCTTACTCCCACTGACAAAAAGAGTACCCCCCCCCAAAAAAAAAGAAAAAAAAAAGAAGAGGAAAGTCTGTTTATTTTCAAATCTGATATTTTAGTTACAGTAGGTCAAATCAGGTCACACCAGTTTTCACTTCTGATGATGTAGTAGGGTGTATTTTTGTTTGGACCCTTCCATTCCCAAACTAACTTCCGGCCTTGACTGTGATGCACAAGGGGCAGGGACCCTGGGATAAAATAAGGACTTCAGAAAAACTTTCCAGAGGAACGAAGTTGACCCCCAAAAAGTGAATGACCCAGAGGGTGATGGATGCCCGCCTTAGGAATGTTAAAAGCTTTTTTGGAGGTGGAAAGGTGAAAAGCAGATGTCAAACTTCTCTTTTTCTAGAGATTACAGAGGATAGTGATGAGAAAATTTATTGTGAATCAATTTTCTCTCTTCTTCTGCCGGCAACAAGAATCCTAAATCTTCTGGGGGACACTTTTAACTAGCGCACTCTTCAAAGAAACTGCTGGTCATTGACTCCTCTTCTCAATAATAATTTGTAAACAGGAGCGGTGAAGTAAATTTCTTTGCCATCAATCACCAGCTTAAACCTGTTTACGCACCCAAGCAATATTTTCACAAGGGAGGATAGGAAATTGTTTATTTACAGGTGCTCAGTCTTTCAATTTCACAGGAAATGTTTTAAGTTTCTGGATAAGTTGGTGAGTAGAGGACAGCGAGTAGTGAAAGAAGTTCCTACTGGGCCTAGATAATTTAAAACAGCATCTATTTCTTGCATTTAAAAATTTCAACTTACATGTACATGTACATATAAAATTTTAAGAATTTAGCTTTTTTTTTTCATTCTTGTCAATTGCATTATACATTACATTTGTATTTTGTCAAATAAAAAAAGATAAAGGAGCTGCTATAGAAGTACAAAATATTACTTTACGTGCTAAGTGCAAATTAGCTCAGCAACAATTACATGCAATACTGTACATACAGGTAGCATGACTTATTGGCTTTTACACAATAGGGGGTACCTGAATAAACCACCATAATCTACTGGTAATTGGTGGGTTGTTGATCACGTCATTAAATTATTCGTCCCAACACACGGCCCGGCCGTACCGCAAAACTAGAAGTTCTATTCCACAATAAATAGAAATTCCATTGCACGGTCACAAGATTGGTGGCTCTGTCCAATCAGATGAGGAGGATTTATTCAGGTGTTGTATGAAACAAATAATGAATGTTTCACATTCGTGCAATGGAAATAATAATTTCATTCGGTGACAGATGGAGTGGTCCATTCCACACGATGGAACATTCCATCTGTCACCTCATGAAATTATTCTTACCATTGCACTCATAAACATTCATTATTTGTATAATAACCTGTTTTTCTTAAGCAGATTTTTTTTCTTGCTTAGCTGATTTCTTCACTGAATAACTCTATGACATTGGTGACATAGCTCACAAAGGTCCTTGCTTTATGGTATAACTTGAAAGCCGACTACATTTATCATTTTATGGTAAGGAAAAGTATGCTCCGGAAAGGCAGATTGCATTCTCTACTTTATGTATCAATGCCAGACAACCAAAACAATTAAGAGATTGATATGTGTTTCCCATAGAGATGGCCGGCGTTGACTTCAAAGTGTTTTTATTTTAATGTCAGACTCACAGTGACGTTCTTAATGGATACAAACAATTACCATTGGGCAAAAGCTGTTATGATAAAGATGAATGACTGTCTGCATGCAGCATTTCCTGATCAATACATTGATTGATTTAATGCGGTTCGCTGGCCTCGATGTATTAAATACACAGCAAAACGTTTAATGCCTGCCGGTAAAACTGTTCATTTACCCAATACTGTTCAAAAGTAAATTATAAATCCATGTACATGTATTAGCCCCAGGCAGGGTTGGACTGGAGATACTTGTGATGAATCACAAGTCATCATAAGTCAATCACAAGTCCATCATAAGTCAATCACAAGTCCATCACAAGTCATCACAAGTCCATCATAAGTCAATCACAAGGCCATCACAAGTCCTCACAAGTCCATCATACATGTAAGTCAATCACACGTCCATCACAAGTCATCACAATTCCATGATAAGTCAATCACAAGTCCATCACAAGTCCATGATAAGTCAATCACAAGTCCATGATAAGTCCATCACAAGTCCATCACAAGTCCATCACAAGTCATCACAAGTCCATCACAAGTCAATCACAAGTCCATCACAAGTCATCACAAGTCCATCATATGTCAATCACAAGCCATCCAGTCTCTCAAGTCTCAAGTCACCTCACAAGCTACATGTATTCAAGTAGGACTCACTCTGTATTTTTTGTGTCTCCTGTTACAGTTGTGACTTGACGTTCGAATTGACTTGTGATTTTCCTGTGACCAGACTATAGGATGTACCGTGCATGTACACATGTACCCTATCTTTGTGATCCATCACAAGGACCTAGACTACAACAATAAGTCCAATATGATTTTTCAATCCTCGGTCCAGACTGGGGGTTGCTTTTCAATTCAAAAGCAGTCAAACCAGGTTTCTCAGATTTAAGTTTTGAAGTAAATGTATAAGCGAAAGGGTCCAAGCACAAGATCAAAGTGCAGAAAGAAATTCCCACCTTTAAAAAACAAAATAC